GAAAATTTTTAGGCACCACATCGATAAAATCATAATTTATAAGAGCGGAAGTGGGCTTCGTCAAATTTTAAAACAAACGATCTGCGATTACCAATTCGGATCTCAGATCTTTTGTTTCACCCGGACAGACAGACAGACAGGCAGACGGACATGGATAAATCGAGTCTACTGGTGATTTTACAAGTATAATTACAAGTCGAGAATCTGGAATTTGTTTACACACGAATATAATTAATAATTATTATATTATTTTCGAATGGGAGCTTTTATAATACAATCTCTGAGACCTACAGGCTCATGCCCAATTTCAATGCCTTCTTTTGGTTGTTAAACAAATTTTGAGGGTGACTTGAAGGTTAATACCAAAAAGGATCGAGAGATTGTCATGGTTCTGCAATAATTCGGTCTTATTCGCAGAAAACACAAACTCAACTAGGCCAAAACTATATTAAAATAAGTCTATTTTCAAAATGCAGTTACTCGTCATGGAGCAGTTTCCAAGGCGCTGCTTGGCGATTATTTCGATCGACTTGAAAAATAGGGGTTTTCAAAATATATAAAGTGATGGACATTTTTTTGCTACAATAGAGAAGAAAATTACTGAGATTTAGGAACTTAGTTTAGAAAGAGTGGAATTAAATTTAATTCCTTAAAAACATAACACAACAGACATATAAACAACTTGACAACAGTTATTATAGATAAACGATATAAAAAAAATTTCGCATATAATATACTTTGGGGTTTAGGGGTACAAATTTTAAAGAACAAAGTCACTCAATATTCAAAGTACGCCTAAATATTTACTAATTAATGCCATTTACAAATGCTTAGCCAAATGATCTTTTGCAAGATAATAAGCACCGAAAAATTACAAATTTAATCTGGCTCAACGTCTAGTCGGATTGTCAGGCTGCTCTTAATTAAATATTTGTCAGGCACCTTAAAAGCAGAATATGGTTGCTTCACTGATTCAGTGCAGCATTTATTGCACTTGCGTGTTTATGCAGCAAGCTCAGAAAGCGAAACATCTAATAACAAAAATTTAACTTTCATTTACCGCCTCGGTATGAGGAAATTAATGCTACTTTTTACGGTTGTCGACATTGACGCTATGCCACTGGCATTTCAGCGACACAAAGCGAGTAGTATAGTAAACATGTATATCTACGTATATCCAAAAAAAAAAAAAAAAAACTAATAAGAAACCGCGGTGAATATTCGGAGCTTTGGTATATTGTTTTTGTTACAAATCTCTGCGTTTCCGACTCTAAAATAGCCACATCCGGAATTTGAGATTTTACAACGTAGGCTCTTTTGATGAGGTTCACAAATAGTAATCGTCTTTTACATTCCGCTTAAATCCCTAGTAGCTGGTTAGCTCCAACATATTTATAGTTCGAGACTGCTGACATGATGATGGCAGAAGGAGGAATCTCTGACCATAATTTATATGCATACATACATATATTCTTAAGTATCACCAATTAACTTGAATTTGCAATTTTGCAATTTTTCAATATTATACAGCTAAATCAACGAAATTTGGTGACAACTTCATTTAATGTTATTTAAAATTTGACTTATAACTGAGAGAAAGTTTAAACTAACAATTAAATTATATTATAGAAATGTTAGCTATTAGGAGATGCATTTCTTGCAGTATGCAGGCTAACATCTTTTAAGAACCAAGAAAGTCACCTCAGAAAACCGAGATATTTAATCAAAATCTTTAAGCAGTACTCTTGTCCATCAAAATCAGTTTATATCGTCTTTTGAATTTATATATTTGTTTCCATATATTTCTGAGTGTCATAAATTTGACAATTAATCAAACCAAAAAAGGATCAATTTAATTATTGACGAACTGATATGGAAGTACTAAAACGCCCTACAAAAAGTGCCATATGTCATAATCATGTATTTATATTTATTGAAGTAACGATTACAATGACTTGTTGCAATGAAATGAGCCAGGGGATGATTTCTGATAGGAGTTGGTTTAGTGTGGGAATTTTGAGGGAGTTGCAAATTTTTGCAATGCTGGCGATATGATGAACTGGCAGTATGGCATTCTCGCAGTAGGGACATTCATCAGCTTTGTTTGTGTTAGTCTGAATCTTGTATATCAAATTGCCTGGTTTCGGTTTATTGTTGCTGGAAATCTTCTATATATATAAAAATATACAGCTGTTCGTTAGTCTCGCTAAAACTCGAGAATGGCTGAACGGATTTATCTTATCTTGGTCTTGAATTATTCGTGGAGGTCTAGGGAAGGTTTAAAAGGTGAGAAAAATTCGATTAATTGCCGGGAAAATCCTCAAAACAGTATTTTTCTATTTCCCATACAAACGTTTTCTAAATAAAATGTACAGGCAGACAGCTGAATCAAAGCATTTCCTGTCAAACATTCAAAACATATTAAAAGAAGAAATTTAATAGATTCTGTATACCCTGATATCGAGAATTTGCACGAAAAAGACTTCCATTGTCTGTGTTCTCGGGCTATAGTATCACCTAAGAATGATACTGTCAATGAAATAAATAATCTGATTGTTCAAAAAGTCCCCGGCCAAACAAAAACATACAAATCGATCGACACTGTAACGAATATTGAAGATGCAGTCCATTATCCACAGGAATTTTTAAATTCGTTGAACCCTTCTGGACTGCCACCCCATGAATTGACGTTAAAAATCGGAATCCCAATCATGCTTTTAAGAAATTTAAACCCTCCAAGCATGTGTAATGGGAGGAGGCTGCTTATTAAGGAGTTAAAGGACAATTTAATTGTAGCAACTATTATCACTGGCCCAGCAAGTGGTCAACTAGCTCATATACTGAGGATACCGATGATCCCAACTCATCTGTCAATCCCATTTAAACGGCTTCAATTTCCGGTAAAAACATCTTTCGCATTAATAATTAACAAGTCCCAAGGCCAAACCTTCGAATTAGTAGGGATCGATCTGCGAAATAAATGTTTTACTCATGGTCAACTGTATGTTGGTCTATCGCGAGTCGGAGCCCCTGAAAATCAATTTATTTTGCTGCCACAAAATAAAACAACATCAAATATTGTTTACAGAGAAGCTCTAACAAAATAAATGTATTTTCTTTTAGGGTTATGACCTCAATAATTGAAAAATAAAATAATAATAAAGGATGAATTTGTGTCATATTATTATTATTATTATGAATGTGTTAAAATTGACAAATCTAAATGTAATGTTTAATGCCCGTGCGAAGCCGGGACGGGCCGTGAACAGAACCTTACAGGATCTAAGGAACTCCTCTGCAGTCATGGGCGGGATTACTTTTGTATTTGCGTACGACACTTTGATAGAAGCTGTGAACAGTGGATCTGGTGGAATTTATTTCCTTGATGCTCCCGGAGGAACCGGAAAAACGTTTTTAATTTCATTGCTTTTGGCGAGGATCAGATCGCGAAATGATGTTGCTCTAGCGTTGGCTTCATCTGGAATAGCTGCAACTCTGCTAGAAGGCGGGCGGACTGCACATTCTGCCTTGAAATTACCACTAAACATGCAAATCACAGAAACACCAATTTGCAACATCGCCAAAAATAGCGCAATGGCCAAGATCCTACAGGTATGCAAATTGATTGTTTGGGATGAATGCACAATGGCCCATAAGAGGTCACTGGAGGCACTGGACCGAACGTTGAAAGATCTTCGTGACAACCAAAATATTTTTGGTGGGGCCATGATTCTGTTGTCAGGTGATTTTCGTCAGACTCTTCCAGTTATTCCCCGATCAACTGTTGCTGTTGAACTAAATGCATGCCTAAAATCATCAAATTTGTGGCAGTACGTAAAGACACTCCACTTAACAACTAACATGCGAGTATTTTTGCAACAAGATGAAACTGCATATGTGTTTGCGAAGCAGTTGTTAGACATTGGAAATAATAAAGTTGCAGTGGACACCTCGACCGGATTCATCACATTACCTACAGATTTCTGTCACATCACAGACTCAAAAGTGGAACTTATTCAGCGAGTTTTCCCAGATATAGCGCAAAAGTTCAATAACCATAATTGGCTGGGTGAACGAGCAATATTAGCAGCGAAAAATAAAGATGTCGAGGATCTTAATGCGACCATTCAGAATTTTCTTCCAGGACAGTTGGTTTCCGTCGACACCGTAATGAACCAGGATGACGTAGTCAACTATCCCACTGAGTTTTTAAATTCACTGGAATTGCCTGGATTACCACCTCACAATTTGCAGTTAAAAGTGGGATCAGTTGTCATCATGCTGCGTAACATTAATCAACCTCGACTATGCAATGGAACAAGACTGGCTGTGAAAAGACTGATGAATAACGTCATTGAGGCGACAATCATAAAAGGAAAATACAAAGGAGAGGATGTCTTGATCCCGCGGATACCGATTCCAACGGACTTACCATTCGATTTTAAACGGTTACAATTTCCAGTGCGTCTGGCCTTTGCGATGACCATAAATAAATCGCAAGGACAGTCGTTAGAAGTTTGTGGAATCAACTTGGAGTTTCCCTGTTTCGCGCATGGACAATTATACGTCGCGTGTTCGCGCGTCGGAAAACCGTCTTCTTTGTTTATTTACGCACCACAAAACAAAACAAAAAATATAGTTTATGAGAAAGCTTTAAATTAATTAACAGACTGTATTTTAACAGTGTGTGTCTGTGAATATCAAATTTAAACCTTATAAATAGCCAGTATTTCAGGATGAGGCAGTACGAAGTCTGCCGGGTCAGCTAGTGATTTAATATAATTTGAAGTGCAGTGTTGACAAAATTAAATTATATATAATAATATCATATCATTTAAATTAAGTAGATAGTTTATAAATCAAAATATGTCCGCTTTTTAGCAAAATATTTTAAGTAAGTCTGTCATACCTACTGTTTTTTGCTACCTAATGTTCAATATAAACTACCAGTACATGCGTAAGTAATGAAAGACATTTAACAAATTATTTTGCATTTTCAGTATCCACAGTCCATTAACCATGGCGATGACCCAATGCTTGGCCTGGTACGCCCTGATCGTTCTCATGACATGTTGTGCCCATTGTCTGCCTGAGTCCGGTGACGACAGGCGACCGAGAGCGACGGGAAAACCCGCTCTGATCCGAACGGAGCTGCGATTCGGGCGCGATCTTGATCCCTCGAAGGTGCGGGTGGTGAACGTCAAGACCAGCAAGGGCGACGACGTGGAGATCCTAGTCGGTAAAAACAGCCGTAAGGCCCGTGCCGAGGAGGCGGCCGGCTCCTTCTTTGTCCGCAGCACAGACGTTAAGCGGCCTGTCATTACGTCCAAGAGCAACGGTGGTGGTCGCCAGCTGGTCTTCGAGCACAGCCCGGCTTTGCTTAAGCAGAGCGAACTGGCCCAGCAGATGGAGTCTTACCGGCAGCGCAAGGCTGATGCGGAGCAACGCCAGGCGAAGCTCATCCAGCTGCAGCTGTCCAAGGCTCAAAGTAAGGTGGCAGAGTATCAGGCGGTGCAGGGTGGTTCCCGCCGAGGCCGACAGCTCGTTTCGGATGTGTCCTGGCAGCCGACATACACCCAGTTCACGCAGCACCCGCTCAAGAACTTTTCGTTTTCACCTGACTCTCAATGGCAGTTCGGGGATACTTTGCCCGGAGTGCCACGCCGCGCTCAGGGATCTGCTGTTAGCTTCCCGAGCGACATGGAGTACGCAGCCAGCGATGTACACGGGTACTTCACGGCCGACAGAGGGACGCGCGCCTATGCCAGCACTGATAATCAGAACTACCGGCCACAGAATATAATCACCAAGCACAACTACAAGGCCCTGCCGCAGCAGTCCAAGTACGTGACCTACATGCCGCATTCCGTGGTGGTGGCGGCCAGTACGGGCGTGCAGATGCCCACAGTGGTAGACAATCGGCAGTCAGTCCCGTTTGCCGGTTACGGAAGACCCCAGCGCAATCCGATTGGCCAGAGCACGCACAGCGTCGTCGATGGGCCGGCGGTGACGGTAATCGAGGGCGTTCGGGTGCCGGACAGCGCTGAGGACAAAGTGAAGACCTGGCGCAACGCACGCGTTTTAAACAATCAGCTGGTGCCATATCCCGAGGGCTACAGGCCTCCTCGCGTGCAAATGCCCAGCTTCGACAGATAGATGCGGATTGTATTTCCGGGTACTGGGTGCTAAACGTTTAACTGATATATTTATTGATTTGTTGTTGTTAAGCTATTTATAGAAGTTCGCATTAAAGTTGTCAAGGAAAGTGCAGAAGTCTATTTCATAAAATCGTTTACTGTTAACACTCGAAGGTCCGACTTGCGCAGCAATCGGAAGCACGATGCGGCGTCGAAGGTCAGGTAGACGACGTGCATCGGCGTTGTCTGCATGAATCCGTTTTCTGACAGAGTGTAGCGATATGGCTTCAATAGTTCCAGATAAACAAACGCTGCCGGACGCTTCACCTGGATGCTGATGCTAATACTGTTCCGGACGACGTTACCAGTGGTTAGACAGGTCCTGGAGGCAATCTCGTACTAAACAAAGTGATTAGCTTAGCTCTGCGCTGCTTTCACATATCGCACTTACCTCCAGTCCAGGATCTTCAATGCCAATAGCTGCGGCAATGCTGGTGGGAAAGAAGTATGTCCGGGAGATTACCTCTGGCCCACGGCGCAGCTGAAACTCCAGAAAGGCGTTGTATTTTGTGAAGTCCCCCTGAAGAAGTTCGGTGATGGAAATGACCTTGTCGTACTGAACGCCGTTGGGTCGCAGGGTCACTGTCCAGCTGGTGGAATTGCGCGGCAGCAGCTGGGACCAGAGATGGACGTTGGCTGTGACCATTAGACCACGGGTGTTTGGCTTCAGCTGGTCGCAAATCAGTGAGATGTTCAGCGAGTTGGTTGGTCGGTCGTAAAGGGCAACGATAGCGATGGGGGCAAGGAAGTCGCGGGCCCAGTAATGAAGAAGCTGGAAAAGAAGAGAGTGTTTATGATCCAGATATTGGACTAATCTGTTATGGCACTCACCTTCCAGTTACCGTAAACATCAATACCGGACCAGGATGGCGCCACCCAGACGTCATTCAGCTGCCAGTAAAGGGCGCCCATTGTATTGTGCGGGGTGTCCCGAAGACTTCGGTAGAGTTCCGTTTCGGTCTTGGTTGCCATGGCCTGGGCAATCTGGCTAAAATAGATCAGGGCGCTGGCATAGTTCTCGTCTTCTGGCATGGGAAGCGGAAGGTGTCTCTCGACCAGAGTAATCACAGGAATGTTCCCCAGTGGATGGTGTTGCCGGTGGTTTATGACATCAAGGATGTCGTCGTTGTCGCTCTTGCTCCGCTGCCAGGCATAGGCCCCGGGAAAGCTCTGAAAGCCGTATTCGCTAACAAACCGAGGGCGCGGGTAAATCTCCGGATTCCAAGCATCTTTTAAGTAGTCGTAGAAGTGTACTGAGGAAAAGCAACACTTTAGTTATAAAACGTTTTTTTTTGTGCTGTAAATTACCATCGCCGTTATGGTTGTCCTGTGGGTTCTGAGAAATGTAGTTATCCTGCTCACTCGCCTTTCCGTTGGACGGGGATGAAACCAGTGGCTGGGGCCGAGAGCCATGTGAGACAATTTTCAGTTCGTGAATGACATTGGCCAGGTAAAGCTCTCGGTACTCGCTCTCGAATCGTTCTCGATCACTAAACGTTCCATACCAATTCTGCACCAATGCGGCTTCGTTCTCGTTGTTGGTCACGAAAATGGCAACGCTGGGGTGATGCGACAAACGCTTGGCGTTCTGACGAACTTCTTCACGCACTGAGGACAGGAAGTCGTCACTCACTGGGTACATGGCGCAGGCAAACATCATATCCTGCCAGATAAGGATGCCGAGGGAGTCGGCGAGCTGGTAGAAGTAGTCCGACTCGTAGACCCCTCCTCCCCACACTCTTAGCATGTTCATATTCGCCTGCTTGGCCGATCTTAGTAAGTGACCAACTTTAAGAAAACAAAAATGTACATCAATGAATAAAGGTTAGTAAGTGGTTTGCTTAAGATAATGATTAGCCGAAATCATGTTTAAATAGTACGCAATCTTTCGAAACACAATTTTACAATAGTTACCATAGATTAAACTTGCTTGTGCTCCGTCATTTTATGAAATACGGGTTAGCAGTCAAGAGTATTGGTTTTGAATTATTAAAACAAACCAGGTACAGTCTCAAAATAAAACAAGAACAAACGGCCAGGATAATATCAACTAATTTTAGGAAATCAAATGAAAAACAAGAAAGGAAGCTAACTTCGGCACGCCGAAGTTTATATATCCTTGCAGATAGAACTTCTATGAATAGGAATCCATACAATATAAATTATATATATTTGTGTTAAAAAACAATGAAGTAATACCTGCTTTCATTTCATTCACCTATACATATTATATTTGCAGTTTTACATTCACAGATTTGTATTTTTCCTCTACATCAAACGATCGTTTGTATGGCACCTATATGATATAGTCGTCCGATTTTTATGGAATTTGCCACAAAATTGAAGACTTATATAAAATGGCTATACCTCAAATTTGATGAAAATCAGCTGAAAACTAAAAAAGTTATAAATTTAATTGTATTAATTTCTCGATCGTTCTAATGGGAGCTATATGATATAGTCGTCCGATTTTCATAAAATTTTACACAAAATTGTAGAATAATATGAAATGGCTATATTTCAAATTTGATTAAATTCTGTTGAAAACTAAAAATGTTATCGCCACCGCGATTGTCAGTCTTCCGACAACAGCCACCGCCATTCTCATTCCTCTCAAATTTCTCGATCGTTCCTATGGGAGCTATATGATATAGAAGTCCGATTTTCATAAAATTTTACACAAAATTTTAGAATAATATGAAATGGCTATATTTCAAATTTGATTAAATTCTGTTGAAAACTAAAAATGTTATCGCCACCGCGATTGTCAGTCTTCCGACAACAGCCAACGCCATTCTCATTCCTCTCAAATTTCTCGATCGTTCCTATGGGAGCTATATGATATATTAGTCCGATTTTCATAAAATTTTACACAAAATTGTAGAATAATATGAAACGGCTTTATCTCAAATTTTATGAAAATCTGTTGAAAACTGAAAATGTTATACTTATTAATTGAATTAATTTCTCGATCGTTCCTATGGGAGCTATATGATATAGTCGTCCGATTTTCATAAAATTTTACACAAAATTGTAGAATAATATGAAATGGCTTTATCTCAAATTTGATCAAATTCTGTTGAAAACTAAAAATTTTATAATTTTTTTGTAAAACTTTTCCGATCATTCCTATGACAGCTATATGATATAGTCGTCCGATCCGGCCCGTTCCGACATATATACGAGTGAGAGTATATAGAAGACTAACTGCAAAGTTTCATTCAGATAGCTTCAAAACTGAGAGACTAGTTTGCGTAGAAACGGACAGACGGACAGACGGACATGGCTAGATCGACTCGGCTGTTGATCCTGATGAAGAATATATATACTTTATATAGTCGGAGGTGCCTCCTTCACTGCGTTGCAAACTTCTGACTGAAATTATAATACCCTGCAAGGGTATAATAATATAAGAATAAATACTTTTCAATTTCTTAGCCTATTTAAATACATTACAACTAAATACCTTGGCTTATAACATAAATAACATCGCATATACAAATGTATATAGATTTACATACAGGGGACTTGGTCACTGAGGGTAGATATCCTAAGAAACCTTTAGACCAAAAATTACAAAAGAATGGGTAGTTAAAGGTAATTTAATTTTTGATACGAAAATTCCGAAAAGTGCAATTTAAAAGCATAGCTTTTAACAATTAATGCCTTATTAAAATATTTATTTATTTTATTTATTTATTTATTTATTTATACAGTATCAAAATTCCTTTTTTAAATTGTTGCTTTAATGCTGTACCCCATCTGTAGTTTTAGTTTATAACTTTAAGCAAACGGCAAGGAAGTGAATAAAAAAAAGAAGTAAGGAAGCTTACTTCGGCAGGCTGAATCGATCATTAATATATAATACAATAATTAGCAATAATAGGGTCACCTTTACATTTATATTGACAGGTTAATAGTTCAAGTTTATCACATTCACAGTTTGTTTTCATATATATTTAACGATAGTTTCTATTGCAGCTGTATGATTTAGTTTCCCAATTTTAGAATTATACAAATCATCTAAGTCTCAAATTTGATGAAAAAATATTGAAATCATAAAAAAAAGTAATTGCGTTGCTCAACAATGCTTGAGTAAATAAATACCCATATTTTTGTGACTGACACACATGACATTTTTTTCATTCCCTAGATAACAATTTGGATGCGTATCGATAGCAAAAACTATGTTTTCAGAAAAACGCAAAAGAAAGAAATAATTCGGGAATAGACTAGAGCTTGAGCGCTCACTTTTAATTGATATAACATCGGAAATAATTGAGAGAAGGTTTAGAACCTAAAACATTATTAGCTTGGGACTTACTTTGCTCATTTGTTTGTAATTCAGGCAGAATGTCGGATGGTATGTAATTGCTTCCCTTCATAAAAATCTCAACTTCGTTGACACGGAAGAGGAATGTGTTTCCAATGCCGTCTGGAGCGGGCACCTCAACCAATTCGAGGGTTCGGAAACCGACGCCGACCGACTTGTGAGACTTGGTCTTCGATCGGATCTCGGGTCCATCAGCGTCCAGCCAGGTCTTGAGTGTGAAATGAAGCGGATAAAGTTTCTGCTCGCCGTAGCCATTGGGCCACCAGGTCACGACTTTCTCCTGCGAAGCAATAGTAGCACTTAAAACACACGTACACCCATCAGCGTTCAATTAGTAGCCGGTACTCACAATGGGCACAGCTTGATCAAACTCAATTACCGGCGCCAAGTAGCTAATGGATTTCGATACATGTGTCTCCACCACCACCGGACGCTCCAATAGCTCGCTGCAACTCGTAATGCCCCTTAGTAAGCTAGCTGCTCCAACGGGATCAAGGTCACTTACACTGCATATAGAATTAGCCTTCCATAGAAGTTCTGCTTGCCAACCGCATCTATGTAGCAGCGAATCTGCATGTTCCAGTGCGTGTCATTGCGACTGACGGCCACGTCAACGTCGCGGATGACGGCCACCTCATAGATCTCTAGCTCCACATTCTTCCAGATCCCAGCGGAGGGGACAGCGGGACCCCAGTCCCAGGAGAAGCTCGCCTGCATTTTTCGCAACATATTCATGTGACACTCACCGTGGTATCGCTGGTTGGGGCATTCCGGTGGCACGATCTTGCCATCCTTTTCCAGAGCTTTGGCCCTCGCCAGGGCCGCCGATATAGGGGACAGGATCTCCACCTCCAGTAAGTTTTCTTTTTGTAGGAGACTGCTGACGTCATAGGAGTACCGGACGAACATGTTGTCAGTGCGGCCCAGGAGGTGATGATTCAAACGGATCTCCGACACTGTGTCAATGCCATGAAAAGTCAGATTGATATGTCCTCGTTTGTAGTGATGGACGTCAACTTTAGTGGGATAAATTCAAAATAAAAAGAAACCAAATTAAGGAAGGCCTGTGCGTGAACATACCACCTTAGAGGCTTTTGGACCTAGTTCTAGCTTACCAAAAATAATCAAAAGTTCTTGGAGTTGAAAGTACAATCATTACTTCTATATTACTTCATCAAGAGGTGCATAACTCTGAATTTATTGATCAAATTTACTTTTGTATGTTTAACAACATTACTTCTAAATTTTTCAATTCATCATTCAATTCAATCAATTCAGGTTATTTGTTAATTATAATTATAAATTTATATATATACAATATATAAATACAATGTATAAAAATAATATGTATAAAAATAGTATGTATAAAAAAGACAACTGGATTATATATTTATATATTATGTTATGTTATGTTACTATGTTAATTTACTTCCTTTTACATTAATATTAATAAAAACTATAAAAAACATATGTATATGTGGTGTCTGGTCACTGCACAGCAAAAGCGAATCTAATCGGTTCTTGTCAAAGGGAATTTAAGACTTTAAGTCTTATTAAAACCGTAAAAAGTTAATTTAAAAAAAATTTTCTTATATATGTATAGTACATATATGTATATAAGTACTACAAGTTTCACCTTGGACTTTGTGGGGATTGAATCCGTTCCGATTCTGCATAAGCAGAGGGCACCTCAGTATGCCCGAAACTTTGACTAATAGTGCTTTAGGTAGGCAGCCTGATTCAATCATATTATTATACCCTTGCAGGGTATTAAAATTTCACTCAGAAGTTTGCAACGCAGTGAAGGAGGCACCTGCGACCACATAAAGTATATATATGCTTGATCAACCGTCGATCCGTCTGTCCGTTTCTACGCAAACTAGTCTCTCAGTTTTAAAGCTATCTGCATGAAACTGTGTAGTTAGTCTTCTATACACTCTCACTCGTATATATGTCGGAACAGGCCGGATCGGACGACTATATCATATAGCTGACATAGGAATGATCGGAAATTTTTTACAAAAAAATTCATTCAGTTGTCAACAGAATGTGATCAAATTTAAGATATAGCCATTTTATGTTACTTTACAATTTTGTGTAAAATTTTATGAAAATCAGACTACTATGTCATTTAGCTCCCATAGAAATCGAAATGAATTTGGGATAGGCCATAAAATTAAAATACAAATTTAAAAATTATATAAATCATATAAGCAATTAAACACTCTTTTTCAGCTGTGTTGTGTAGTGGCTTGTTCTGGCATGCTTCGACTCATATACTAATATAGAATAGTATATATGTAACTATATAAGATAATTTATTTGTAATCTATAATATAAATGTACTTAGAATTAAATGGCTTAGAAATGTTTTGGAACTTATTGCTTATATACTTTACTCTTTTCTGCCAAAAACGTCATGAACAATTGTTTTTTAAAAATTGGATTTATTTATTAACTAGAAAGTTGGGGCATGGGGCTAAATTGAATTGAATTAATTGGGTTTAACTTACACTGAAAACGATTCGAGTAGGTCCAATTGTCATAGGCCAGCCAACGCAAGCCAACGTCATTATATGAGTGTAAAACTTGCGGTCCAAAGGCGCTGTATATACCGGAGGGAAGAGTTTGGTCGTCTATGCTTAATGCTGTGAAGAAAAATAATGAATTAAACAATCCTCTGTCTTCCGCCACAAAAATAGCTCCGATCCGATAGCCCTTTATATTAAGTAAACAAACCGAAAGTTAAAAGTGCTGAAATTGCTGATTGTATTTGTTACTAATCGCATATAATTGAATTTATGGCTTACGGGCTATATTAGTGCGCCCAGTTAACGTGATTAGACAACCAATTTTTAGGCAATTATGCTCACCAAAAGCGTTGCGCTAGGAGCTCAGGAGTTGTTTGTAGTCATTCGTTTACTCACAGCCATTTTGATTAGTTATCATCCAATTGTTTCCCAGCTCTATAACTTCCACGGCGTCACCTAGGACGCAGCAAGCAAGAGATCCGTACAGAAGTCCAACCAGGAGGGAGCCTCCTCCGAGGACTCTGCAGTTTTTTCGAGCCTTCATATGGGTATTAGCGGTCAATCAAAATCACTGGAGCTATTTTAAAGTTGACGGTGGGTCCGTCCCCACTCAATACACAGTTTCAGACGCCTAAATATATATAAATATATAATCGGACCACTGTCGCACTAAGCGAAGAGTTGCTCCAACGAATAACCAGCGGCAAACGCGACGCGACGATCACTGATGGGGATTGTTTGCGGCGTCCCACACCAAGTGAGAGTGGGAGAGTGCGAGAGAGGCAGAGCAGAGTGAGAGCTGGAATGAAACACGATAATAAAGCACATTTCAGTGTCATGCTATTCTCAGTGCATCAGCTGTTTGTTACCTTAGGGATTGGCTCGACTTCGGCATACCTAAAGAGTCGGAGAGACATTTTAAATAACTAAAAGAAGTAATTGTACAGGTTCTAACGTCGAGGTTATGAACTTATTTTTAGTCCAAAATCGGGTTTTTACATACAATTTTTATTTTATTTCTTTAAGGTGACTGTGAAGATTTCATATAACTCCTGTAAATATTTTCGAAAATGAAATTGTGATATTATATGGTGCTTTACGCCGAATTAAGTTTAGGTATGAAACTCTGGGAGTGATCTGTAATTTTAAACGTTAAAAAGATTAGTGTTTTTAAATATGAATATTAGTTTTTATCTCTCCTGTAAGCCTCTCTCAATGTAAGGCTCCTATTTTATGCTTATGCTACGAGTATTTTCAGCAAATTGTTGCTGACGTGGTGATTAGCACTGTATAATACTTTTTTAATCAAAATTGGCATGTTTCCTTAGCTGAAAAAACTGAAAATAATTAAAAATGGGAAATGTATTCTATTTTCAGTTTACCCGATAATTTATCAGATTTCCCCACAAATGACGAACAACCATTTTTTTGTTCTAGCTGTTTTTTATATTGAATATATAACTAGGAATCTGAAACATATCCGTGTAAAAATGTTGTTTAAGATTACACAAATAAAAGTCAATTGCCATCTAAATACAGTTTCACAATATTAATTATTTTGTAATAAATATTGGTTGATAGTTTGAACCTTAATGTTAGCGCTATCTAGCGTAAGGCATTCCGAGTCGTCCTCGAAGACCAAGTAGATCGTTTTCCTTGGTGCTGTCTGAGTAAAGCCATTTAAGGAGAACGTATGGCGTTTCATGATGTATTCCGGATGGATCAATTCAAGATAAACCAGTAAGGCCGGAAACCGCACTGTAATAAGCAAACTGAAACTGTTGCTATACGGGGGCTGTGTATTGCTGCATTCTTGACCTGCGACTTGCACCTGTTTAAAAAAATACGCCATTAATAGGTTTCTGATAGGAGAAGGAAAAAGAAAAGAACCACTTACTGTAAGTTCTGGGTCCTTTATTCCACTGATATTTTTCATAGGGACTGGATAGTAATAATTTCGAGCCACAGGCTCCCCATCTTTATCCTCTAAAACTATTTCTAAGAATATTTCTTCTTTGGAATGGTTTTCGATTAGCAACAGTTCCAAAGGTATGGGGCGCACTTCAAGCTGATTAGATCCCTGGGGATTATTAATAATATTGCCATGAAGTCATAGGCTTTAGGGATTACCCTGTCCTTACCAAACCAAAGGCACGTGCGATTGTCTTCTTAGCAATGAGATCAGTCCAAAGGTAGGTGTTTACTAGCACATAATAAAACTGGGAGTCTAAATGGTCCGCATAATCCTCCCGAGTGAGCGTGATGTTAAGATTATTTGAGCTAGCGTCATACAAGGCAATAACGCTTTTTGAGGCCAGGAATTCCTTGGCCCAGTAGTAAATCAATTTAAAGTTTCCGTAGAAGTCAATGCACGACCATGTGGGAGCCACCCAAACGTCGTTCAGCTGCCAGATTAGGGCGCCCATTGTCTGGTTTCCAGTGCGTAGACTACGAAACAGTTCGACCGCTGTCTTCGTCGCCATGGCCTGTGCCACCTGGCTGAAATATATGAACTTTTCAATGTTCTCGTCCCAGTGCTGGGGAGTGAACGGAAGTTGATACGAGATTTGCTGAAGCATCGGAATGAATCCCTTTACGTCATGCTGCCGGCTTCGGATGAGGGAAGCAATATCCTCGCTATTGACATTTGAGCCATTTCCCAGCGCACGCTGCCATGTCGAGAGCATTGGAAGACTTGCGTAACCGAACTCAGAAACAAATCGAGCGTGCGGATATGTTTCGGGACTAAAAGCATCCTTGTCGTCTACCCAGAAATGCACTGCAATATAAGAATTGTATTTGGTTAATATTCAAGTCGATTTAAAACACGAAAGCTTCAGAAAGCAGTGCCCACAAACGAAACTTAAAATTAAATATATATATAATACTGGTAATTTGTAATTTGTATATTGTATAAAATAATTATAAGTGATTATTACAAGAATACAAAATTTATAAAGAAACTACCCTGACTCCTTTAAATTATCGAGGGAAGGGAAGTGATTTTTTAGATTTAATGTAACCGTCTATTTATTTACCAATTTCAATTTTAAGAAGAGCTTTGAACTTATTGATGCTTATACAAAGCTTAGTAAAGTTAGTTCATCTCACCAAAAAAATTAAAATACTTCACCTTATATTTATACCCTTCAAGGGTATTATAATTTCAGTCAGAAGTTTGCAACGCAGTGAAGGAGGCACCTCCGACTATATAAAGTATATATATTCTTGATCAGGATCAATAGACGAGTCGATCTAGCCATGTCCGTCTGTCCGTTTCTTTCAGTTTTGAAGCTATCTGAATGAAACTTTGTAGTTAGTCTTCTATATACTCTCACTCGTATATATGCCGGAACGGGCCGGATCGGACGACTATATCATATAGCTGCCATAGGAATGATCGAAAAATTTTTACAAAATAAATTATAACATTTTCATTTCACTGCGTTGCAAACTTCTGACTGAAATTATAATACCCTGCAAGGGTATAAATATGATGATGTGAAATCCTAGTATACTCCAAATAAAATCGGATTTACTATTTATTTCGCAAAGTATTCCCCTTTTTTTTCCATTCACAAGAATCTTACTAAGTGAACACCGAATAATTTTACGAATTGCACATATCTTGCATTTTTTGTATAATCGGACCCACAGGGTAAAACAGTAAAACAGCTTCGTGGTAGACTAGACTTCTTTGCGTACTTTGTCTTACTTTTTCTTAACATGTACTAGGTATTTTGGTTAATTTTTACACATATGTCGCTCTTATAATATTAAATCAGTTCTCGCCCCCATCCCATATATGTATGTACACACGTATGTATATATGTATACCTGAGTAAATTAGAACATTTTGAGGTACACCACCATAAATATTCTAAGCAGACTTACCATCGCCATAATTTGGATCTTGAGGATTTTTAGTCATTTCAGCACCTGATTGTGCGACCCCTATCGAGGGTGTTGAAATCATTGGACCAGGACGAGGACTGAAATCACCACGAGATATGACACTCAGTTCTCCTATTATGGTTTCAAATAGAGCATTATAATCACTCTCAACGCGGTTGGCGTCTTCCCCAAAATCTGATTTGTTTGTTACAAGGTAAAGCTCGATCTCGTTATTAGCTACGATTAATGCAAGGCTTGGGTGATATGAAAGGCGCTGAGCGTTTTGAGCCGTTTCTAGACGGACGGAGGCCACGAAGTCTTTTGCCAAGGGATATGCTGCACGGGAAAACGCCATGTCCTGCCACACGAGAAGTCCGTAGAAATCAGCCAAGTTGTAGAAGTTTTCCGACTCGTAGAGACCTCCGCCCCAAACACGAATCATGTTCATGTTGGCCTTGTGTGCGGCTTTCAGCAAATATTCGACTAAAGCAAGGAATTGTTTCACAAATGGATTTGTTATTCACATTCGCCTTTACCTGACTCCGTCTCAGCTGACAACTCCGGAAGTGTATGAGCAGGTACGTAATTCACGCCTTTCATGAAGATCGGATGTCCGTTCACTCGGAAAAGAAATGTCCTGCCGTTCTCTAATTGCACGTGAATTAGAAAAACAAAACAATTAAAACAAATAAGTAGCCATAAAGCGACCAACGTGAAAGGTAGATATCTTCGTCCCGCAGAAGTTTGTATAAATAATAATAACAAAGTCGATAGAGTCAAAGAGATAATAGCGTTTCCAATTTTATACAACCTGTTAAATTGTTAATAATATTTACAATTATGGTGATACTCTGAAATATTATGTTATCGAAAACATACAAAGAATTGTGTCAAATATTCTACTGTTATCTTCAAACTTAAGGTATTAAATTTTTTAAAACATATTTAGTCACTTACGATCTTCGTTCTCTACCAGCTCTAGGATGCGAAACCCAACCTTTAATATCTTCTGTGACTCTGTGCGGGCGCTTAGGTCGTGGCCAGCTTCGCTAGTATAGCATTTTACTTTGAAAAGTATTGGGTAGAGCATTTGCTTGCCGTAGCCGTTGGGCCACCACATAGTTACTCGGTCCTAGGGAAAGTGAGTATTAGCCGAATTTTCGACAAGCTTTTAATATTTTTACTTTAGGTATCGATATTTTGAACTCTAGTACGGGAGACGCGAACGAAACAATTTGTTTTTCCAGAACAAATGGTTTATCTAAGAGATCACTAGGATAAATAAAGTAAATCGTTTAGTCACATCATACTTCAAATATTCTGCATTTCAATATAAATACCTGGCATAAACCTTAAGGTCGACATAAAAATCCTCGGTTGCCGGAGTACTGAGAAAGGCGCGACAATCCAACGTCCAGTAAGTTTCGTTCCTCTTGATGGCCACGTCTACGTCACGCAGCACAGCCACTGTATAGTACTCGACTGCAACAGGCTTCCATATACCCGAGGAAAGCGCTACAGGATTCCACTCGCCACCGAAGCTCATTTGCATTTTCCGCAGATAATTCCGATGGCATTCGACGTCTCCACGTGCCCTTGGGCAGCTGGGAGGTCCCGTAAAAACTCCCTCGTTTTGCAACTCTCGAAAGCGCCGACTTGCCTCCTGTAAGGGCGAGAGAATCTCAACCTCCAAAATGTTTTGATTGGGGCTAGGTAGGAGCAGGTGGCCTATGGCGAACGAGTAGCGGACGAACATGTTGTCAGTCTCGCCAAGTTCTTGCCCGTTCACGCGTACTCTGGATACGGTGTCGATTCCGTGGAGCGTCAGGTTCACCATTTCGTGACCCATTTCGGCGCCTAGATATTGGGGTCAGTAATATCATTTAAAGTGGTTCGGAGAAGTTTCTACCCACTGTCAAATTTTGTGCTGAATATCCACGATTGGTTGGCTATCCAGCGAAGAGCTGCATCATTTCCGGGATCCAGTAAGTCTCCATAAGTATCTTTAAGCGCAGTGTATACTCCAGTCGGCATACGGGATACGCTAGTTTCCAGTGCTGATCGTATTTTACGAGGTAATAGAGAGAAGATAATCGTGTGGGAGTAATAGGCACATAAATAGGTTCCAAATCAGAACGTATACGTATATAGCCAATTAATTAGACCAAATACAAGCGTTATCAAAAAGCCGACATAGACCAAGATTTCCTTATCTTATCTCGACTCTTCTATGTATATATTTTGGATGACGCTTCTCTGGTAGCAAAGATGAATCAACAAAACAAATTGGAAACTCCCATTTTAAATTTTGAAAGGACACTTACAGGAGTTTTCATTTCTCAACGTCCATTTAGTTAACTCTTGAATAAGAATCGATTTCGCATCGTGATGATGAATGGTGATATAGAAAACACCAAGCAGGCAGATCAATCTGAACGTATTTATTGCCATGCTGAGTGATTGGCAGTTAACATTTTGTACGCATTTATTTGTAATAATTCAATTGAAATCTTATCAACAGGAGTGAGGCTTTTTGACTTCTCGCAGTCAGTCAGTACACGTTACCACTTCGGAATAATTTTGATTACTGAAAATAATGTTTTGCTTTGAGCGGCATATCGGCTAGGTGTGGTGAAATTGTTCGATAGAGACTTTCAATGGCTAACTTCCAATCGATTACTAAAAACAACGTCAAGTTCTAATTGTTGCCTAATTTTATTTGGTCAATAGGGGGAATATGTCTTACTGATGGAGCAGAATTAGGACTATTATCTTTATTAGGCTCATGTCTATCTGTGCGACCATCCGTTTGTCTTTCTGTTTGTCTACTTGAAAAAGTTTTGCTCGATTACGTTCGGAGTTTGTGCCATTCAAGGTCCAAAATGCCATTTATTTTTGTCCTTTGATCTGGAATATACCCTTTAAATTTACATTGAATGCCTATGAATTGCTCCAGTTCGGTCAAATTACAGAAGAAGGAAAGCTATAGCGCCTGTTGTACCGCCTGTTGTGCCGAATTTAATTTGTCTATTTATCCAAACATTTGTGAAAAACTTAATTGTTAATATCACATAAATAGAACAAAATTATGACTTCAACGTTTTTCAAAATATTTGATTGTAGAATTTTGATATTAATTTTATGAACTCGATTTACTGCATGGAGTGGGGGACTGACAATTGGTTGAAGCTGCACCGCAGATGCACTTTCAATATCTGATTGGCATAAAGTGTAATTTTTATACAAAAAAGTTTTTCCGACAATAACAAGGTAGTAGAGATACAATCGAGCTCGATTTTTCAGCTTTTTTTAGTTACTACCGTCAACTGGAATACCTTAGTTTTGTTTGCTATTATAAGCTATTTTATACATTAACATTAGCTTGCAAAGCAAAAGTCTTATCAAATGAGAACATTCAAATATAATAATTATTTAAAGCTATAATACAAAATCACTTAAAGATTGACGAACTTTGCCCCACCGGCCCCATCAATCTTCTTTTAAAAAGTTGTAGGATGCAGAAAGATCTATGTCGGGAGCAGAAGCAGCAGATTTAATATTAGCATGTTTTAAATCATTATTTGTAAACAAGCGATCAGCTGCGGCGGAAGCTTTCCACCTCATAAGCCGGCATGAAAGCTCTTCCGCCGCAGCTCTTCTGTTTGGTTTATCTCATGATACAATTATACAAGGTAGTCTCGTCGGCTGCCTAACCGTTCGGCTTTTTGTCAGTGCGTTTTCGTTTGTCAAAGGAATGGGTTGTATGCGGACGATTTTTTTTTTTTACTATTAACCCTTGTGTGAGATGTCGTTCTGCAATTTCTGTCGAAAGCACGGATGGAGTAAAATTGATAAAAGTGGACATTGTGGGAGGAAATTAAGGAGCTGGAAATTGTTTTTTTTTTAGATATAGTTTCTGATTATTTTAGTACTACAAAAACGTTAAGGAGAAACTATTAATAGGTGCTATGAATATAAGCATTAATTTAGATATAAAAAAATTTTACTTTAAGATTCGCATATATTTTAAAATTAAGAATTTAAACAAAAAAATAGGTATACAAAAACAAAATTAATTAATTAATTAATTTCAAATTCAAAACTATTAAAAATTAAACAATAAAACAGTTCAACTCCTTTTACTATATATGAACAATTTAACCCCCATGGACTATCTAAGGGTTAAACTAAAAGCTCTTTTGTCGTTTCACTCGCACTTACTTCGCAGACTCCTCTCACTCGCACTTGTTGTGAGTAATGAATAGGGGAGTGCTTTTGCCGACGAGACTACCTTGTATAATTCTATCATGGTTTATCTATTCTCTCGATTCATTCGCTCACTTACGTTGAAACTAAAAACACACAAAAACTTTGTAACCAAACCACACACAAGCACACACGAATTAAAACATAACTAATTTTACGCCAACACAAAACAAACCCCTCGCTAAATCAATTCGCTTAATAGGTGGTATAAATTAATGCCCTCAAAACATTTGGTGACCCCGACGTGATCGCGTAAAAAATCGTTTTCGTTAAAATAAAAGGTGAAAAGTGCTTATATATACATAGTTCGTATGCTCACACAATACAATTGCATATCGTTGCATCGCTATTGAACTTTATCGGTACATTCGAGTACATAGCATCTCTTTATATATTTGTGCACTAGCATATATGTAGTTGCAGCCCTTTTATATACTTTTCGTGCAAATTGTGTTTGTGCTGTTGGTTTTGGTGGTCCGATAGAACCGTAAGCTCGCGGTCAGTGAACGCCAAGCTTGGCTCCGCTATTCTTTCGTTCTCTTTTCTCTGCGTTTGGTACAGCTGCATCGGTCGCAAACCCAAGGTGACATTTGAATACTCTTTTTGAAAATAAAATGGCAGAGAATGATTCGGTTACTGCGTGCCCATCCGGGGCCAATAGTGATTTTGACTTTTATAAAGCCAAAGCGGACTCGGTTTTTCGACAGCTAGTGGCTTTAAATGACTTTTTCGGTTCAGAAGAGGCGTCTCATTTTGATGAGGCCGACCTTCAAGTCAGGCTTGAGCTTATTGAAAAAATGCAAGATAATTTTGATAAGTCTCAAACAGCTGTCGAAAGGCTCAATCTACTAGAGCTGGCTAGTGATGTGCGTGCAAAATTTCTAAACATTTATTGTGCGGTGAAATCCAAAATATCTCGCGAACTAGCAAAACTCCGCCGAGTGTCAGTGATAAATTCGACTGCACTCCCAAATTTCAACATCGAGCAGGCTTCAACCTCCAGGGCTGGTGTCCGGGCCACTAGGCTGCCTGAGTTTAAGCTGCCACGATTTGGAGGCGCTTATATGGACTGGCCAGATTTCTACGCTATGTACACTACAGTCATCGGCAACAACGAGGACCTGACCAATTTGGAAAAATTCCAGCATCTACGCTCCTGTTTGGATGGCCCCGCGTTAGACACAATTCGCTCGCTGGAGCCAACAGAGGCCAATTATGAGAAGGCAGTCGACCTATTGACTGCTAGGTTTGATAACAAACTTTTGCATTTTCAGGGGCACATACGATCTATTTTCAGGCTTTCTAGTGTGGTGAAAGGGTCGGCAAGGAGTTTGTGGCAATTGAGCGACGGCATCAAGTCTCATCTGCGAGCCCTTAACACAATGGCAACCACCCAGGAGATTGCGGATGGAATGCTCATATCCCTGGTGTCCTCCAAACTGGATCAGCATACCCAGGAGAAGTGGGAAGAGGGATTGCCTACCAATAAGCTGCTAAAATGGACGGATATGGCTGCCTTTTTGGAGAAGAGATGTCGGATGATGGAAAACATTGAAAATGCTATGGTAACCCACACACCTAGCAACCAGGTGGGAAAAACTATAAATAAAAATGTCCAAAACGCTTGCACCGCATCATCCTACACCTCATTATGTATTTTGTGTGATTCTAAGGATCACTTTATTTCGAAATGTCCACAATTTATTGCCTTGAGTCCCACACTACGCTACAAAGAAGCAAAAAGGCTACATCTTTGCCTAAATTGCCTGCGTAAAGGCCACAGCCTGCAGCAGTGCAAAGCTGGGAACTGCAGGCATTGTCGCTCTAAGCATCATACATTGCTACATTTGGAGTCAAATCCTGCTTCATCACCCTCGCAGCCCACATCCACTTCTGCTCCTCAAAATAGTGCCTCGCTCATTTCTGCTTCGCCAAATTCACCCCCACCTAAAGCCTCGGTAGATCATCAATCTGATTATGTGCTTCTTGCCACTGCCATCATATATGTCCGAAATCGTTCCGGCATAATGGTGCCCTGCAGAGCCTTGCTCGACTCTGCATCGCAAATTAACTTCATTACTTCTCGACTCGCTCATCAATTGCAACTGTCAACTCGTCGCTCAAATACATGCATCTCAGGTATAGGAGAGTCTTCACTCATGGCTGATAAGGCGGTAGATATTATTGTACAATCTCGCAACAAAGGTTACCGAACATCATTCGCTGCAATAATGACTAGCACCATCACAAATTATCAGCCGCATTTCGACCTAAACTCTTCAGAATGGAACATCCCCAGCAATTTATTCCTCGCCGATCCGCTCTTTCATAAAAGTCAAAGGATTGACATTCTTATAGGAGCTGGAATCTTCTTCGACCTGCTTTGCGTTGGGCAGATACGGCTGGCCGATCACCTTCCCTCCTTGCAAAAAACTAGATTGGGTTGGGTAGTATCCGGTGGCATATCTTCGCCGGCCCATAAACACTCTTCTCTTCCCGCATTGTCAGTTGAGCACGATGTACAATTGGAACCTGAATCGTTGCCGGACCTTGTCAAACGGTTTTGGGAAATTGACAGCTATTGTGGATCGTCATCTGCTCCAACTGATGAGAATGCCTTGTGCGAGAATTTATTTGCTCAATCTTATTCTCGGCTTGAGTCAGGCCAATATTCAGTTCGATTGCCCGCAAAGACTAGTCTCGATATGCTAGGAGATTCATACCATCGTGCTTCGCAGCGATTCAAATCATTGGAATCCAAATTGGCTAGAAATCCTAATCTCAAGGCTCAATATATTGCCTTTATAAAGGAGTATATCGATTTAGGCCATATGTCGCTCTCTTGCAAGCAGTCAGATTTGCCGCAATATTATTTGCCCCACCACTGCGTTCACAAATTGGACAGCTCGACTACCAAGCTCAGGGTAGTCTTCGATGGTTCTGCCAAGTCTTCGGCTGGATACTCTTTAAACGAGTTGCTCTTTGCTGGTCCCTCCATTCAGCCTAAAATCTTCAGCACTTTGGTTCGGTTCAGATTCTTTAAAGTGGCACTATGCGGCGACATCTGCAAAATGTATCGCTGTGTGCGTGTCTCCGAACCTGATAATCTGCTCCAATGCATCCTCTGGCGTGATAGTCCAAGCGAAGAAATTAAAATATACACCCTGGACACCGTCACTTATGTCACTAAGCCTGCTGCATTCCTAGCAATTCGTGCTATGCAGCAGCTCTCCTATGATGAGGAGAAGGATTTTCCTGTGGCAGCCAAGATCGTGCGTAGGGACTTTTATGTTGACGACCTTATTTCTGGAGGCGACTCGATCGAAGAGGTCGTTTATATCCGGCAGCAGGTTAAATCGTTACTTGCAAAAGGCCTATTTCCAATTCGTAAATGGTGCTCCAATGAGCCGGCAGCGCTTGAAGGAGAACTTGAGGCTGATCGCGAGAAAATGCTCAAATTTAGTGATGGGACTGACGTCGCCAAAACACTTGGCCTATACTGGGATACAAGTTCCGATAATTTGCTTTTTGGATTCTCTGGAAATGTAGCAGACAAGCCAGCTACCAAGCGCTCTATTTTATCAGCCGTAGCCAAATTCTACGATCCCCTAGGTCTTATACCGCCCATTATAACCAGGCTCAAAATATTCCTGCAAATCCTGTGGAAAGATAAGCTCGACTGGGATGAGACTTTGCCACAATCTTTGCATTCCTTATGGTTGGAACACTCCGCGCAAATCTCGGCAGTCAGCCATTTAAAATTTCCTCGCTTCATCATGCAATCTGACTCATCTTTGGAAATTTATGGATTTTGTGATGCAAGCTTGGCGGCATATGGTGCCTGTATTTATGTGCGCTCCGAAGCAGGGGGCACCTACTCATCACATTTGCTTTGCTCCAAGTCTAGAGTCTCGCCGCTTAAAACAATAACCATACCCAAACTTGAATTATGCGCAGCTCTATTGCTATCCGAACTCATCCACAACATCGCTAATGCCATTTCTCAGCCTTGCACATATCATTGTTGGTCTGACTCAACAATTGTGCTCTCTTGGATTCGCCAGGCCCCATCAGACTTTAACATTTTTGTCTCCAACAGAATCGCGCAGATTCAAGAAAGGACCAAGGATATGGCTTGGCATCATATATCGACCCACTACAACCCGTCTGACATATTATCCAGAGGATGTACTCCGCTCGAACTTTTGGATTCGACGCTGTGGCGTGAGGGCCCACCATTCCTGCGGACAGACGAAGCTTGCTGGCCGCCTCATACGCCTACTCTAGTAGATGTGCCTGAACGCCGCCGCCTCGCGCTGGTGCTGACGCAAAGCCAGGATATTTCGTATGGCTGCAAGTTTCAAAATTGTTTTGGAAAGCTGCAGCGAGTCTTTGGCTACATACATCGGTTCCTAATGCTAAAAGCCAAGGATGAGCCACGACGGCGAGGACCTCTTACAGTAGACGACATCAAGGGAGGCACGCATCTGCTCATCAAGGGAATCCAGCTCATCAACTTTGCTGAGGAGTATAAGGCCCTGCAATCCAAAAGGCAGATTTCCTCAAAAAGCAAGCTGTACTCGCTGCATCCAATCTGCGATGAATCGGGACTTATTCGAGTTGGCGGTCGGCTGCAGAATTCATTATTGGATTATGGTGCAAAGCACCCAATTTTGCTTCCCAAGGATCATCCAGTCACGTCAGCAACCATAGCTCACTATCATTTGAAATTTCTTCACTCAGGTCCGCAGAGTTTATTGGCGGCTTTACGGCAAAGGTTTTGGCCAATTGGTGGTCGAAAAATAGTCGCCGCCACTATCAACAAATGCATTCGCTGCTTTCGATTAAAGCCCAAATTAGCTGAGCACATCATGGCCCCCTTGCCATCCAACCGCGTGCAGCCAAGTCGACCATTTGTCACAGTGGGAATCGATTTCTGTGGTCCTTTCTACTCCAAGTCTGAAGTCAGAAACCGGCCACCCGTCAAATGCTATATCGCAATATTTGTTTGCTTCGCCACTAAAGCCTGCCATTTGGAGCTGGTGGAGGATTTGTCTGCGGCTTCATTCATCGCTGCCCTCAAGCGCTTCATAAGCCTAAGGGGCAAGCCTGGCACAATATGGTCCGATAACGCTACAAACTTCGTTGGAGCCAAAAACGATCTGCTGGAACTGAGGCAACTGTTTCTCGCCGACCCTCAAAACAGCGATCTTCAGCAGGCCTTCGTTTCCATCGGGATCAAATGGCAATTTATTCCCCCTCGTTCGCCTCATTTCGGCGGCCTATGGGAGGCTGCCGTCAAATCTGCAAAATATCATTTTCATCGGGTCGTTGGCAACACTATTCTCTCATTCAATGAGCTTCGCACTTTAGTTTATGAAATTTCAGCGATACTTAACTCTCGACCGCTCTGTCCAATTTCAGAAAACCCTAACGATTTGGATGTCCTTACACCTGGTCACTTTTTGATTGGGTCTTCTTTCGCCACAATCGAGGAGCCCGACATCACGCACCTCAGCATCGATCGGCTGAGCCGCTGGCAACGAGTTTGCCAAATTCAGCAAATCATCTGGCGGAAGTGGAGTACCAGCTACCTCTCGCTTTTACAAGAACGTGGGAAATGGCGTGCATCAAGGCCCAACATCCTACCGCATAGCATTGTGGTGCTCAAGGAGGACAACATCCCTCCGCTTCAATGGCGTCTTGGCAGAGTGGAGAGCATTATCCATGGAGCTGACGGTGTGGCCCGTGTCGCTGTCATTCGGACAGCCACCGGCCTAATAAAAAGGGCTGTTGGCAAAATAGCTGTTCTACCCCTGGAAACCACCTCATCTGGCAGCGTGCCGCATCCAGCGGGGGAGCATGTCGGGAGCAGAAGCAGCAGATTTAATATTAGCATGTTTTAAATCATTATTTGTAAACAAGCGATCAGCTGCGGCAGAAGCTTTCCACCTCATAAGCCGGCATGAAAGCTCTTCCGCCGCAGCTCTTCTGTTTGGTTTATCTATTCTCTCGATTCATTCGCTCACTTACGTTGAAACTAAAAACACACAAAAACTTTGTAACCAAACCACACACAAGCACACACAAATTAAAACATAACTAATTTTACGCCAACACAAAACAAACCCCTCGCTAAATCAATTCGCTTAATAGGTGGCATAAATTAATGCCCTCCTCAAAACAATCTACAATACCTTTTAATCGTAGCACGCTGTCATTGTGAACGTACATTTAAGCCGATAGCCAAATTAAAAATGCCAAATAAATATATATTAGCTATATTTAATGTATAGCACAAGGAAAAATATGAATAAACTAATGACATAAATTAAACAGGTGTCTGTCTGATGACGCAGCTATCGAGTTACATTTAGTTATACATATTCTATTCTATAGGACTAACTGACGGACTGATAGAAAAAATAAACCTTACATCCACTTTTGTGTCCTACAACATAGATTATAAACAAATAGTTCGTTGCAAATTCAACGAAAATTAAAGAATTTATTTCTGTGTGGAAGGCATAACGAAGATAAAAGAATTGATATCCAAAGTTTTTCCCAGCTAACAGCAGAAATCATGAAAATTGTGACCACGGCACCCTTTATACTCCTGGAATATAGGATATAAATAATAGGCTCTGTTTGAAATGCCCTTGTTTATTACGTTCTATCGTGATAACATTGATTTTTGGTGTATTCGCATATAAGCTATTTACAAAAGCACATCACTCAGGTTGCCCGATCGTCACCTTGATCCGTGATATTAAATTACCGGCCGAATCGCATGTGACCATAGTCATCAAACTGGTCATCACCTCCGCGCTTGCCGAACCTCATATGGCCGTAGTCATCAAAGCGTTTCGCTTTCGTCCGATCGTCATCATTGTCCAGGAGCAGGTCCAGTTCGATTGGTATAAGTGGACGGGAAAACAGGGGCACTCTGTTTCCAAAGCCCATTCTGTTGCGTGAGTTACCAAGCCCGGAAAGCGAGAGTCCCACAATGCTACCGCTGGACTGACCGGCTTCAGCTCCTATTTTTGACTCCAGATCTTGCACTCGTCGTTCTTCCTTTCCGATATCCAGACTGGTTGCCTGGGCTGCGTCTGGCACAACCAACAAGAAGTACAACGACAACACCCAGAGCGGAATCACCAACGAGGCGAAGTGCGAACAACCCCTGAGTCCCATTCTGGGCTTTGCCTTGAGCAGACTGGTAGCTACCGTTTCCCGTGTGTCCTTTTTATAGGATTGACGACTTTGCGGATTTCCCTCAACATCCCTCTCGTCTGCTTAATATTCCGCCATGGCGATGACAGAGCATTAACGGGTACCTGCAACTCAATAAGATTACCTTGATTATGGTTTGACTTTTGATTGACGTGATTGATTAAATTAGTAAGCAGTTTCTCTTGTTCTATTCTTGAAAAACATAATATGTGGAGCAAATGGCAAAATATTTAAAATATGGTTAAATAAATTTATTTATTACGACCTTATAGCATATTAAACAATGCACCAATAAACCAAAAATATGTACATATGTCTGTATATATTTGAAAAACTCCTTAAGTATGGAAACTCTTTATTATTGAACCCTTTCAGGGTATTTGACATTTAGTTAAAGTTTGTAAAGGCGTCATTTCCGACCCTATAAGGGATATATGTATATTATTTCAGCGTAAAGTCTTGTCCAATGGGGGGGGGGTGTCACTTAAAGTGAAGGTTAGTATTCAGAATGTGCAGATAATGTTAATATTTCCATATGCCATCGATTGGGGACAAACCACTGATTCCCTTACATCTGTAACATCCTTAAAACATAATAGTGCATCCACCATAGGGAACTTGTTTATTGGTTTCAGTCACTTTTTATCTTTTTTGGGAAATCGACAGTTCTTTTATTTAAGTACCCTTCTTATTTAATTTTATTCGTTTATATATTTTGACCCATGAAATACATATATTTGCATCAGTTCACAAATCCATTGAGGCCTGAGAACATAGCTTTAACTTTTAAAATACATATATATTATTTTTGGAGCAAAACAAAAGGTTATGGGTGAGCCAAATAAGGTAATTATTAACATTGAAACAGCTTACATAGCATACATAGCAGAGCATACATAGTGCAGTATTCCATGGTAGTATTTTTTAAATTTGTTGGTTTTTGCATATTGATTTGGTAGTAAATAGTGTGCCTCGGTATTTTATAAAATTTATTAAGGCGTTCTGCTGAAATACATGCGTTGTACTTAGTTACCATTTTATACGTTTACGTATATTCTTCGTATTTTAGGAATATTTTAAAGATAAAACGTGGAATAATTAATTAAATTGATAAAAAAAATAGCTTGGGCCTAAAATAAAAACCTTAAGTGAAATGTCAAAATACTTTTGTCTCGCCAATAATACAAGGAAAAAGAAGAAGCGAAAGCGGTAGATTTTTGTGAAAGTACTTTACATATGTATATGTATGTATAATAAGTTATTTGCCTTATGACAAACAAAATAAGAAATCTCAAGAATATGCTACAATATATGGTGCATAAATGTGCACATTTTTTGTTGCATATTTTTTGGATAAGTACTTATACATATACTTATGTACACAAGGACTGAACATAGCAAATGACCCAAAATAACCATTAATGCGATTTTTACTTAAAATACATATGCATACATACTTAAAATACATAGATTACCAATACCATGGCATACTATGAAATATAGTGTTTTCAGTGGATTCTGGAACGGATGTTCGTCCGAAAAAGATTTGTGTATTTGCGCTTTTCTTGTCATTCTTCATCAACATTAATAAAATGTGTTATATGGCATGTCCGGATGCCCGAGTGGCTCCCATGTGAGAGTGGCTTCCTTGAGCACAAACCGTCTATAAGCAAACAAACTTTCTCCCTTATGTGCAATAAGAAAAAGGAAGCCGAAAACCAATTTTATTTTTTACATCATATCACTCATATCTTATGTTTTAGAGCCTTCTTACGGGTACCAAAATAGTAATGAATTGGCAAGTACCTTTCTTTCATTACACATTTTAAAATAAAAACATTACATGGCAGAAAGCAACCGATTTTGGAGACTGTAACATCTAGAGCTACCTAATCGGATGACAACATTCTTACAAGCGTGCAATTCTGCGGGAAGCCTCAAATTCTCATGACTCTGTGAGCAAGATAAGGGCAAAGATAAGGTGTTGACGCGAGCAGAACTACTGTTTGGCGAGTTATTTCCAAAGCTAAACATCTTAAACGCTTGAAACTTAAAAAAAAACCACCGCTTAACCCCAAACGAAAGGAAGCACGGTTGACCTTTTGCCGCGTCAATATGTCATGGTGTAACGAGTGGAGGCTCGTAGTTTTTTCTGACGAAAAAAGTTCAATTTGGAGGGGCCAGATGGCTATAATTATTATTTTCATGATCTGAGGAAAGAGACGCATCAATTGGAGCGTTTACATAGTCGAGTAGGCGGAGTTATGGTTTGGGGAGCCATATCTTACTTTGGGACTTGTGAACTCCAATTCTTATCCTCAAACATGAACGCAAAAGCGTATCTAAACGTCCTCGAAAAAGCTTTTTCACCATTGGAAAATTTTTTCAATCATTTGCCTTGGACATTCCAGCACGACAATGCCCCAATACATACTGCACGTGTTGTAAAATCTTTTTTAAAAGATAAAAATGTTGAAACTCTGTACTGGCCACCATACTCCCCGGATCTGAATATAATTGAAAATGGTTGGGGATGGCTGGTCAGAAAGGTTTATGAGTCTGGCAAACAATTTTTAACAAAAGACGAACTAATTGATGCCATTCAGAGGGCGCCGCCGGTGGTAGCTCAAAGGGTTGAGACGACAAACATTCAGAGGGCCTGGGCTACAATATCCCTAGACTACATTAAAAGTCTATATGATTCGCTGTCCTACTGGATCTACGAGGTTATATTGAATAAGGGGGGCTCGACCCATTATTAAATTAACATATATATTTACATTAATACTTACTATTGAATAAAAACACATTTCCTAATACTTAAGTTCATTAAATATACTTAAAAAAACAAAAATTGTTATGGAATTTTTGAAGTTTTTAAGTTTTTTGTTAACCTTTATTAATTGTTAATTTAATTTAAGTTTTGTTACTTTTCTTATAATTAAAATTGATTACTCTATAAATAGAAACAAAAACATCAACGAGTTTTCTTTTTGTTTAAAAGATTTCGAGATTTGAAATTCCCTATGTAAAGTGTGCTATTCAAGTGAAACGCAGTGTATGTTCTGAACAAACTTTAATGGGGCGATCTTATTTTAATTTTTTTAGTATCATGTAAAAAGCATTTATCATTTAATTACATACAAAAAGCTTTGTATAATAAATCGATATATGTTTGTTCCAGAAACAATCGCAGTGTAAAGCAATGCTGTTCTATTAGTATTTAATTCTGCATATATGTAGATGTGTGTATACTGATCATATTGGGAACACTTGAGGTGCACATCGTCACTAAGCGGACGGGGCCGTCCACAGGCCGTAATAATATGGGACTTACATCGCTGGGTGTTGTGGAAGCCTCACCATAAGCTGTCCATTAACACATTATGCAGATTGATACATTTTCCTTTTCCATCAATTGACTTTCTTTGGACCCTCCTCAACAACATGTTTACCGAACTCTGTGTCTTCCTCAATTAGAACTGGAGTATAAATTGCCCTACTTCTTATAATATTGGCCACGCTTCAAAGATAGGTATTTGGCTTTGCAAAGAATTCGATTTGCGGACCGGATAGTCCGCATTCCACAAATTCAATCGCGCAGTTCGTCTCTTCACATCTGTATCTAAACATACAGGTGAAACCAAAACACACAAGGTACAGATAATAAGAATATTTTCTACGGAATTGACTAGTACAGTATGTTTTATTATCCGCAAAACTTAAAAGTTATACCTACCTGTAGACACGTTGGCAATGGTCAACAAACAGTGGTGGCAGTTAGATTGTGCAGGCCACTCGTGCGTGTGGGAACTGTCTGAAAAAGCTCAAAAAGTAAGCAAGCCGCTCCACGGCAAAGCCAGCTAAGATAAGATCCACAATCTGGACCCAGTGCTTCTGGACACATGCTCTTTTATTGTTGGTTTTTAGTAAGTTACTTTCTTCTACTTATTTATTCATTAAAATATCGTACTATTATACATAATGGATTATGTATAACCAAATTTGCGGAACTATGGCAGTATAGCAGTATAATGCTGATGCCTGTGTTTTGCCACTTGTTCGATTGACCAGTTGGCCATGCTGTCTTTGGATACCTGTAAAACTGGCTGCGGAATGTTGAATTTTCTCGTTTCATAAACTCTGGAATTTCCATAAGGCTTTGAGAAGCCAGTGTGCCGCTGACATACAGAAGGAGCCGATTGTGCAGTGGCAAGCGCAGGTTTGGGTGGCAGCCTGATATGCGTATTGCGTAACGATACATTGATTGCAATTGCAATATTCGGAAACTGAAGAACATTGTACCTGGCCTTGCTTAGTTTAAACTTAACCCTATTGCCTCTTCTTTGCGAATACATTAAGCAATTTTAAAATCATTTTATTTTAGATTTCCTGTACGAATTACTATTTGTAATTCCATTTTTTTTTTAACTTTCTGATTTACCAGGCAACGTCCCTATTAAAAATCAAGTCACAGAACACGCGCCCACAAAAACAATCAAAGTCATCGCGCACTTGAATGCCAACAGAAGCGATACGATTTATAAGTGCAAGGGCTTATTCGAAGGCAAACAATAAATGTATTATTATTATTATTTTAAGGTTGTATGCAGGAAAGGATAAGTGACATCGTACAAACGTTCTCGACGGCGACAGCCGGTGGCAGCACTCCCCTTGGGCTAGATTACGCATGCTAATGCTGCCTTTGGGTGCGGCATGTTGTAGAAATGGATGCCACAGAGCTGGATTCGATAAGGTACTCCTCGTTATTTATTGTAAGTATTTATTGTGCATATTTCATTGCATACAGTATTTGTATGAAATAGGGGTAGCTATCCGGCTTACCGGTTAAGACACAAGTTTGATCTGAACGGAATGTACATACATCCGCTCTTCGGGAGAACCATCTCCCATGCGAAGGTATCTATAACATTTGGGATCACCTCCTAAATTGACATTGTAGTCTTATAATAATATTCTACAGTATGTATTATATTGATTAAAATATGGTATCTGTAGATACATGGTTTTTAGCGAGCGCATATACTTGTAGTATAAACCTAATAAGGCACACATATTCATTTATGTAAAATTGGTTTCAATGTGGGTATCCTCCCCCAGTTCTCCGCTACTTCGTTCTGCAGTGGTCTTCTCAATCTGGCTGCCAACTCGTTTATTCAAGGTGCTTTCAGGAAGGCTCCCATCACTGTTTTGAACGCACCCCTTTCTAATTTGACCAGCATCGCTAAACATTGTGTAAATCTATATATTTGTAAAGTACGTAGATCTACCCATCTGCACTATAGACCACTCTTATCTTCGCGGCTTTCCGAAGCTGCTGGCAGGCCCCAGTGGACCATAGATGGCATGTGGGTGCGTGGGATGAGCGTGATTATGCTGCCCCGGTCCGGGCCCGCCGCCCGAAATCGGTGTCCCTCCATTAGACATGGCGGCTTGTTTTCGTTGTAAAGTGTTCAGGCCCATGGGCCGTTCGCCGTCGTTAAGGTCAAGACCAGCAACCAACTGAGCAATCTCACGTTCCTTTTTCATGTCCGGCGGGTTGAACTGCAAGCTAGCCAAGGATCCGTGACTACGGCTGCGATGCTCCTGACGAATGGAGTAGCTAAAGGCTCGCTCGTTAAGATGTCCCTTTCGCTGTAAATATATATCGAGGACGTTTATTAGCAAAATATTCAGTAGGGAATTCTGACCGCATTATAACTTATAAGATCGGTTTTATAATTAAAAAGGAATGAATAGACAGACAGACCTGGCTAGACCGTCTCGAAACAAAGGCAGTTTTTCCCACCAAAGCACGAATGCAAATCAATCAAAGGCCGATCATTTAGTTAAGCACTCTTACCTTGTAGATCCCCGTGCCGCCTGGTGAAGGCGACTCGGCGCCTGAGTTGCCGGAGTCGTCTAGGCCATTACCCATCGACGCTGCCAGTTTGCGGCTGGAATTTCCTAACGGACGTGTCTCTCCGATCAGAGACTGGGCCAGTTGCTGCGGCGATACCATGGCCTGCTGTTGATGGTATGCATAGATGGGTGGCACAATGGGCATGCCAACGGGCATTCCGCCGCCGGATCCGCCATTTTTTTTGTCCTTTTTCTTTTTGCTTGAAGAGCGCGAAGGCTGCAAGGTAGCGTACTGCTGCGGCATCAGCACAGGTATCTGCAAGGGCGGCATGCCACACAGCTGTGGGTGTGCCGCATGGTGCATCATGTGAAGCTGTTGCTGATACTGCGGCTGATGGTGGGCATGGGCATGCGGGTTTGGAGGCGGATGATGGGCCAGGTGGTTAGGTGGGGGTCCCGTCGGTCCCGGCGGAAAGCCGCGATGGCTGATCGTGTGGTAGCGGGCTGCGTGCGGACCGTGAGCAGGGATAGGTCCGTAGATCATACTGCCAGGTCCCGCTGGTCCCTGCATTCCTGAGCGATGGAGAGCTGCTGGGTGCATTGGCTTCGGCCGGATGAGAGTGCCGGATAGGCTCTGGCTGCTGCTAGACTTGGCCGACTTCTTATCCCGTTTCGGCTTGCGCTCCTCCTTGATGGGGGGTGGAGGCACGTCGATGGGTGTGCTAATTTGGCGCGCCCTTAAAGGTCGCCCGAGAGTGGACGTGTTTCCGGAGAACAGTTCGTAAGGACTCTCGGCGGCTCCGATGCTGTCCAACTGATCCTGCGATCCGTTCCACACTTTGTGGTTTTCATCTCCATTGTACGACGCATCTCCGTCGTCGACAGTTACGTTGAGGTCAGCACTGCTTCCGTAAACTGGAAAAGACAAAAAGATGTTTTAGGGCTGGAATATGGATGGGTGTTTTGTAAACTTATTAAATATATAAAGTACTTTTGATGCCCCGTATTTTACGTGTAAAACTATTAAACTCTGCGTCAACGTAGAGTGTATATTCGATCACATAATGTATGTAAATTTGTGTATAGCTTGTGAGCTTGCTAGATTTGGTAAAAAATCGCATATCTACGATATTTCCGAGGTAAACGTGTGTTTTTAAACTCACGTTTTCCCATTAATAACTTCATAAAATAAGTAGTATACATATTCGATATAAATTATGTAAGCTAAAAATTTAAAATTTACAATTTTTACTTTTCAACATAATTTTATCATTGAAATAGCAAATGAGATGTGCCATAAAATAATTTGGATTTAAAATTGATTTAAGAATAAGATAATTATTAATATTTAAGTTTTCGGTCCTGGTTAAACATTTTGCTGAATTGGCCATATGTATCAATGCAATTAAACATCAATAGCATTTTATTTATTTATATATTATAATTTAAGAATTACAACAAAAATACAACTTTAGAATATTAATATATTACCTGCAATAGAAAGTGAACATTTTCTGCTAAGTTTTTGAGCAGAAAAATGAAATGAAATGAAAAATTGAGTAGAAAAATGCCCACACTGACAAGATGCTACAAAATTAAAAAAAAAAAACTTTTTCAAACTTTTGATATGAATTCGAATTTGAAGTTGTGCCGTCCAAATAGGCCAACTTGGCATTGTAGAATGATTTGTATATATTAAGAAAATGCACATTATTTGGAATTTCAATAATAGATAAGTACTGATATTCTCAAATAAAAAGTCTAAGCCTAATAGATATTTAACAAAATATTGTCATCCAAATTAGATAAAATGTCAAAGTTTAAGGATTTTAAAATACTTTTGTTATGGAATGGTAAGCAAAACTACACGTTTTCCGACCGTTACAAAATTTTTTTCTCAATATATCTATCTATATATTTTTAATATGATGTATTTCAAGTATATTCCATTAACTAAAAAATAACGATTGGTAAACTTTCAAGCCTGAATCGAAGAAGGTATGTAAGTATTTTGGCCAAGCCGATCACTTTGACTCGACCATAGTGCGCTGTCACCGATCGTTGTTAAGGAGCTCAAGCTCTCGAATACAAATTATTCAAAGCGCTGGCCATCGACTAAGCATGTCTAATCCACTCTTATACTGTGTGAATGAAAACGGGCCAAGACCACTGGTCGGGCGACGGCATTCAAATTAACTGGCCGGATTGCGATTGAATGGGTTCGACTTGTCCACCGCTGGACCGCTTCTCTACTCACCCAACGGAACCAGGCCCACCACCTATAAGACAGCCAGTAGCAGCTGTCGCTGTTCTGCAGTGCATTTGGGTCACGGCGACAACGGTTTCGTAATAAATAACGGTAATTTAATAACATAAGCGTGGCTACACCTGTCGCCATACCCCTGACCCGCTGTCCGGCTTGGTTCCGTTCAGGCCGGTACCAAACCCAACCAGCCCCAGAGCCGAACCCGATCGTCGGGTCCCCGCCCCACTTTCCGTCCACTCTTGGCCACATTGCCAGCCAAGCCGAAGCGACGAGTCACTTGACGAATGTCTTTTGAGGCCGTATTTGAATCTTCTTCATGCTTCTATTTACTTTGTTTGTTTGTGGTTGGGATCCTATGGTTTATTTTGTTATTACACTTCTGGTCTTTTGCAAGGCCTTTTTGTCTTTCGCTCCGGGGTCAATAGACTCAGTTGTCTTGGGTAATAAGAGCGAACTTCGTGGCCATCAAGTCTCTTCCTCGAACCAATGTTGAAAAGGAACAATAGTCTGTTTTGTGGGAAAACCTGCATAGGAGAAGCCTAATTAGCAACACAGCAATATGGCAGTTTCCCATGGCCAAATGCCGTATGCAAGACTCCAAGAGACTCCAGCCAGGAGACTGGACTTAAATCTTCACGTGTACAAATCAGCATGCTTTCGAAAGCGAAGTAACCAGAAAACTAATATTTTAGTATTAGCATTAAGCCATTATTAATCAGAATGTCGGCCACAATCATAAGCTTAGTGATCGCGTGCCCAATTATCCGGACGCGACATGGATGCAACTGTCGTCGATTTACCAGCTAACCATTTAAGTGAGATGAAAGCTTTATCAGTCGGTTTCACCTTTCCATTTTGCAATCATGCCGCTACGTTTACCGAGCACTGGCTGCGATTTGCGTAAACTGCTGCGGAAGTGAGTTGGATTCCTGATCATTTAATTGTCCAATCCAGTCTTCTGGCTTCGATTTCAGCGGGCTAAATAGCAGAAAGCTAATTACACTTCCACTTGTATCTCAAGCTGTTGTTTCTGGAGCTTAAATTACTCAAAAACTTTCCTGCTTCTGTGGCGCAAATCCACGAAAACGTATTAACAGCCGGGCTCGCTCTGAACAGCCGTCTTACGTCATATTCGTCGGAAGCCGAGTAGTCGGCATAAGCTAAGAGTAAAATTGATACTCTCACTCATTTGCCGAGGGACAGTGGACGGGCAAGCGTGCGTGAAAATGGTTTTCTAAGCCTAACTTCCCTGAGATGGCTGTGTATAAATATATATATACATATGAACAAATGTATATAGATACATAAGTATGAACGTGAGCCGACTCGATGTTAATTTGTTGCACAGGAAAGGCGACTAGAGTCGAAATACCACATAGCCAACGCTTGCCAAAACACTCTGCTGGCATTTAGCCGTTTCGGAGCCCCTCGAATTCCAGCCAGTCGGAAACAGGAGTGGCAGCAACCAAAACTGCGCCCAGCGTTTGCGAATATTTTCTCCCTGCACTGCCCGTCCCCCTGGTTCGAACTAAAGAAAACGAACACAGAGCTGAAAACCAGTCGTAAGGCATGCAGTTTTCTTGCTGTTTCGATCACTGCGTTTGCAGAGCTTCGGGTTACAGCGTTGGAGGGACGCACGTGCAACTGCAAGACGAAATCTAGGCCGACCAAGCCAGATTGGAATGTCAGACGAATGGGTGCACAGCTGAATCAAACTCGCACGGATGCAAATAGCCGTTTCCAACGATAGTCAGCTATGTATGTACTGCGCTGAGGCGATTAAATATGATTCCTGCACCAGAAGAGTTCAAAATAAATTCGAGCACACACCAACTTATCGGATCTTGTACGCCCTTAGATATTCGGAAGTATCCATTTTTATACCCTTACAATGTATTATCAGTCAGAAGTTTGCAACGCAGTGAAGGAGACACCTCCGACCATATAAAGTATATATATTCTTGATCAGGATCAACAGCCGAGTCGATCTAGCCATGTCCGTCTGTCCTTCTGTCCGTTTCTACGCAAACTAGTCTCTCAGTTTTGAAGCTATCTGAATGAAACTTTGTAGTTAGCCTTCTATATACTCTCACTCGTATATATGCCGGAACGGGCCGGAAAAATTATAACATTTTTAAAAGAATATAATCAAATTTGATATATACCCATATCATATTATTTTATAATTTTGTGTAAAATTTTATGAAAATCGGACAACTATATCATATAGCTCACATAGGAACGATCGAGAAATTAATACAATTAAAAATTATAACGTTTTCAGATTTTAGTCTTAAATTTTGTATCAAATTTTATGAAAATCGGACGACTATATCATATAGGTGCCATATAAAACGATCGTTAGATGTGGAGCAAAAATGCAAATCTGTGAATGTAAAACTGCAAATATAATATGTATAGGTGAATGAAATGAAAGCAGGTATTTCTTCATTGTTTTTTAACATAAATATATATAATTTATATTGTATGGATTCCTTGTCATCGAAGTTCTATCTGCAAGGGTATATACACTTCGGCGTGCCGAAGTTAGCTTCCTTTCTTGTATTCATTCGTTTACTTCAAGTGAATGCAGAATGGCAAACACTACCTGAACAAAAGGAATGACATAAATACATACATATGCATATTAAAGCTATTGTTTGCCATCGCAATTTACACAGACCAAAAAAAATATATGTACATACATTGATGAACAATTCAAGTAAATATGTATGAATCCTCGGGATTCAAGTTCCAAGTTTTAATAAAACAAGTATACAAAATAGGATGTTGAAAAACTAAGCAGATCATTATTATTTGGTCACCAATAAATATTTCCATTGCTTGTTTACAGTAATTTCATACATGTCATATATTAAAAAAAAGTGATCTTATTTGTTACAATTCCTTGACTTTTATTTAATTATTAACAATTAATATTAGAGCTTAGACTTACTTTTGGCTGCATTCGAACCATGCAAACTAGATGTGTACATATCAAGAAAAACTAAATAGCAATAATATTAAATGTAGCTCACCGACATGAAGCTGTTGCCAGTGATGTTGGCAAACGAGTTATTCAACTGCATTTTGATTTCGGTTAATTTGCTCCAACTGCCTAGGAACCACTCCCCTAACTTTTCGCTTCCTTCTCTCAGCCACTCCGAAGCCTCTTTGCATAATAATAATGCAACAGCAGCAGCAAAAGAGATCGTTGCCAAATGGACGCAAACGATGATCGTAATAGCCGCTCAAAATGTTGCAGCCCCAGCGGAAGCCGGCCTGTGGAGAAGAGTTGGTGCAGCAATGGCTCTTGCGATGCTTCGAGGCTTCTGTCATGGTCAAGTGGGCACTCTCACGGACACTTTCCAGTGTGGTGCAGATTATCATTCATATGCTAATGGTGGTGGTGGTTCAGAAGAAATCTCCCTTATAACCAAGGCAGTGAGGCTTCCCAGACGATTCGTGACAGTGATCAAATTAAGATGTATGTACAATAAAGTTTTACAGCTCTTAGAGAGCACAGAAGGCATAATCATATTTGGAACTCAATATGTACTCTTTACTGCTATGACTATCTACCAAGTACTTCTAAACAATTCCAAGTATGCCATTTTTTAACAGAAAATACAATTGTACATGCAGTAATATAGGGCACGTAATCTTCTTGCAGGGCATTATAATTATAGTCAGACGTTTCCAAAAGTGTAGAAATCAAACCTAATACAGTATATATTTATACCCTTGCAGGGTATTATAATTTCAGTCAGAAGTCTGCAACGCAGTGAAGGAGGCACCTCCGACTATATAAAGTATATATATTCTTCATCAGGATCAACAGCCGAGTCGATCTAGCCATGTCCGTCTGTCCGTCTGTCCGTCTGTCCTTCTGTCCTTCTGTCCGTCTGTCCGTCTGTCCGTTTCTACGCAAACTAGTCTCTCAGTTTTGAAGCTATCTGAATGAAGCTTTGTAGTTAGCCTTCTATGTACTCTCACTCGTATATATGTCGGAACGGGCCGGATCGGACGACTATATCATATAGCTGCCATAGGAATGATCGGAAGATTTTTACAAAAAAATTTTTAACTTTTTCAGTTTTCAATAGAATTGGATCAAATTTGAGATATAGGCATTTAATTTCTACAATTTTGCATAAAATTTTATGAAAATCAGACTACTAAATCATATAGCTCCCATAGGAACGATCGAGAAATTAATACAATTAAATTTATAACTTTTTCAGTTTTCAGCTGATTTTCATCAAATTTAAGGTATTGCCATTTTATATTAGTCTTACATTTTGTGTCAAATTTCATGAAAATCGGACGACTATATCATATAGGTGCCATACAAACGATCGATTGATGTAAAGAAAAAATTCAAATCTGTGAATGTAAAACTGCAAATATAATATGTATAGGTGAATGAAATGAAAGCAGGTATTACTTCATTGTTTTTTAACACAAATATATATAATTTATATTGTATGGATTCCTATTCATAGAAGTTCTATCTGCAAGGGTATATAAACTTCGGCGTGCCGAAGTTAGCTTCCTTTCTTGTTTCACAATATTTTCATCTACTCATTGATGTGGAAATTTTTTAAAAGTTCATATCGATGGTTTTCATTAACTTAAAGAAAATCCTATTTTCAATTCCACCAATTTGATTTAACTGCAAAATACAAGGGACTTAACATTTAGATTTAATATATATTTTAATTATTATTAATTATTTTAATTTTTTTCTTCTAGAATATGAAATAGTTACACAAAAGAAACGGAAGGTTACTTGGCAATTTGACAAAATTAATGTGTCAAACTTAGACATGGCAGAAGTGAAACTTTCAGTGTCTCTCTTCCATTTTTTTCTAAGATATTATTTAAATAACTACGAATTAATGGGTCTGAGTTTTTAAAATCATAAGCTCGCGATTTATTAATTTAAGAGCATTACTTTCCTTTAATGTAGTATAATATAATTAATCACTTCCCAACCGTCAAAAAAATATATATTCACAGATATAGTGGTCCCTTTAATATAATTTTAAATTCATTTATTAAAAAATTATTGCGAAAAAATGTTGTTTCCGTATATTTATTTATTGTTTTATCATGAAAATGTGATCATGCCAAATTTTAGTTTATTTATAAACCTTTCTATTCCAGTTAATTTAATTTTTTTCGCCGACAACATACATATTTAAAGGTGGCATTAAAAGATCGGAATGCTATAATAATATATTATATATAATTTCTAACTTTCAAAACGAATTAATACAGTTGACTCAGTGACAAATTACAAGAAGTTTATTTCTGTCTCTAGCTTTAATATACATTTACAGCCGAATTTTGTTAAGGAGACTTTATAGAACCATTCTGACTTTTTTGAACAGCGTTGCATGTTGCAAATCAGTCTAATATTTAACCTTTTATCGCATATTTGTATGTGATAAAAAGAGTGATTGAAGAGTGATATAACATTTATGTAATCATCATATTCTTACGCTTTTTGTTTAAGTAAATAGTAGACCCTAATTTTTTGTGCAATCCGTAGGTTCATCCCAATGGAAGTGAATGTATTTCTCGAAGAGCAATGACAACCTTAATCTTGGATATGACTACAGCGCGAGGCAAATTAAAAATGTTAATGAATAGAAAATCTTACACACATACCGCCATGGGATTGTCGGAGATGAGCGTGTTCCACAAAAGATATTATCGCTTCTCGGCAGAGTTTCACTCAAGCACTCTCACATTGACGTATTCTGGCGAGCGTCTCTGCGACTCTCTCTTTTCCCCAGCGATTTCACACCTGCCTGGTGACTTCCCAACGCTTCAAGCTCGTAGAATAAGAAAGCGGCGGGTCAACACCCCAGAAAATTAGAAGGCCCCAGCCGAATTTTCTCACGCGCTTATCCCGATATATTTACTCGATGGGCGTAGTTGCATGTGTATAATGAGTACAGTGGTACCACGGCTCCCTTGCCGCAAAGTCTACAACCTCATCAGTAATCTGCACACGACCACAGACTCCAACGAGTCTTTACAGCGCCTTTCCACCTGTTTGGCTTAGTACATCACACCGTCTCATGGTCAATGGGAGACAATCTTGTAGGTGCCTGAAGGGCTGGTTTGTGACCAAAGCAAAAAAACAGGTAATTGGCCGAAGAATGACCAAGAGGCTTCAATCAGTTTTGATTTATTTCAACATTTATAGTAGTTATAGTTCCAAGAGCCGATGTACATATAAAGCAATACAGATATCAGTAAATGAAACGGATAAACATATTTAAAACAGGATAAGAAACCAAGGATTCTTTTTTGTTGGCAAAATATAGAACAAACATGTGTGGAAATCAAATTAGTTTTAAATTATGTAAATCGTTATTGGTTTCTACCTGTCTCATGACAGCTCTCTGTCGCTAAAATAAAAATCTCTTAAAATGAACTAAAGTGGTATTAATTAGGAAAGAAAAATAAAACAATCTCATCAAGCGTATAGTTGCGCTTTTCCAATAGAGTTGGCCGCACGTAAAATAAATATATTAACTTTTTGAGAGTTATATTTTTTTTAAAGAATAAAGATTACAATGTTAAAATCTTATAAAATATTACAATACCAAAAGGCACCTGCAAAGGGAAAGATTGGCTAAATTTGTTGGCTGCAACTCGAGGTATGATATGAAATCATTATCTATACAGAGATATACAATTGTATATATTTTAATAAATGCCAAAAAGACACAGATTTCCGAGCAGGACATGGTATAAATTGTTTTTTCGTCCCAGTCCCTTAAAAAAGAGAGATTTGTCTTTGAAAAAATTCATTTCAATTTCGGCATGATTAAAGTATTTAAAGGCAGACAAACTAAAGACTACGTAATTTATCTATTGCTTTTTTCCAGCGAATGCTCATATAACCTAACCAGCTGACATACCTCTGCCGATCCAATATACATATACATATAAGCAAATTAACAGCTTGGGAGTGGGATTGGCAGCAGTTCAGTCGGAGCAAAACTACACAACAAAATATACAGATTTTTGAATGGCGAGATAGAGATCGAAACAGTGCTGTTTTCTCAGCTTCGGCGAGTTACACAGTAATTATCATAACTTCGCTACAACCAAGGAACTCAAAAACAGCCGAGTCATAAAACGGCTATTTAAGCTTCTTTTCGGCTTCTGCCCGCTGCTCTGACCGGTCTCTATCGTTAAAATTTAAATGAGTGGAAAGTGTTTGGAACGCAGCAAAACAGCAAAAAGTATGTCTTCAACTGAGAGACTTCGAAGTCGTCACCATCGCCATCTTTATTGTCGTCCGCTTCAAGGTTTCACCAGCGAGTTAGGGTAGGGCCGTCGTCTGTTCGACGTCTGCAGGCCTTTCGTAAAATGGTCAATACTGAATACCTGCGCTGCACCCAAATACTCTTGGGATCTGTCTCTTTCTTTTACTATGGTCTTAGGTGTGTCCGAACCGGAGAGTACCTGACCTAAGCAGGTGTGCTGATGCGGACGCTCATGGAGGGTCCATCTTGCCAAACACTTTTACAAGCAGCTAATTTCGCTCCGTCGAATGTCTGACTGCTGAGATCACACGGATAGCAAAAATAGACACCAAGTTAACATTCATATGATGCCTTTAGTAGATTAGTTCGATTGTACAGGACAAATACTTGATCAATAAATATTAAAGATTGCAAGTTTCTTTACACCTTTGTAGGGTATTATAAAATAAAATGAATGCAATCTGGCATAGGTATGATTGATCCCAAGATCGAACTGCAAACTACAAGGGCATACAGACTTAGGTATCCCAAAGTTAGTTCAATTTCATGTTTAAAATAGCCTTGATGGGTAGATACTGGATAATGGAGTTAAATGCTATTTTAGTCAAAACGATGATCTGTTTTCATAGTGCCCTGTTATGCACATACATTATTGTCAGACTATAAAAAGCTGGTATTGCTAAAATCAAGACGAATAATAACCCGTTTAAGCACATTACATAGCCTACTCACAGTTCTTGACGGATGTGTATCCCTCTGCTGCGCTGCCGGAACTGCCGCCGTTCATGCCCAGAGCGGATCCGTTGGGGGCGTGGCCGTTAGAGGCGCGCCCTAGACTGTTGAGAGTCGTTGTGCTGCCAGCCCGCGACCTCCACCCCCCTTGTGCGGAGAGGGTGAGATGGTGGCTTCCGCCGCCGTTGGACGGCCCGACGTTGGTCAGGTCGCCGTTGGACTTGCTGCCAGCCGCGCTCTTCAGAGTGCCATAGACGCTGCTGCCTCCACTGCCCGTCTCCAGCTGCCGGGCGTACGAGTTGTCGGCGTAGGCGTGGAAGCAGCACCTGACTAGAGCGTTTGCAGCCGCCTCCCGCTTGCAGATGAAGACGTGGCACTCGAGCACCTTGATTCCGGTGGTGCGACGGAGGATGGCGGCGAATATGGGCGGATGCTGGGCTCGCGGGGCCCGTGCGAAGGGCGAGTCCAGCGGGAGGAACTTGGGCTCGGGATGGGAGTTTCCCCGCTCCGGGATCATCACCTGGCGGACGGCTGCGCAGTAGTGCAGCGACTCGATCGGGAAGAAGCGCGTTATTTGCTTGAGGTTCTCATCAACGTTCTCCAGCAAAATGCCATTCGACCACACGCTCAGCCAGCTGTCAATGCCCTTGGCGCCCACGGCCCCCTCCGAGGGATACAGGCTGCGCAGCGGCTCCTGGATGCCCTGCAGCCCGTCCTTACTCTGGCGCGGAACGGCGCTTCCCAGGTAGAGCACGCGGCAGCGGCAGATGGGCGTGGAGTCACCCATTGTCCGGCTGAGCAGACCCAGTGGCAGAGCAACGGTCGCCGTAGAGAAGGTTTCGTAGCTGGTGAAACTCAGACACGAATCCAAACTAGTCGTGAAGAGTGGCGGGAGGCGAGGGGGGCAGCGGGCCCAACAATGTGGATTTTCTGGTTTTGCTTTGTGTGCTATCCACGTCCGTGTGCACAGGTATTTCGCCGTCTGGCTGCTGGTGTATGTATTTGACTGTGTCTGTGTCGGTGGCCAGGTTCGGTTCTCAAGCCGTCGAGAGAGAACTTTTTCGCTTAGGTAAGCGGCTATTTCTTGTCTCGCACACTGAAGCACTTGCACCAACACTAGCGCCTTACACCAGCACCGGTGTACGTACACTCGTGCATAGTGGTGGTGGTGGGGTCGCGCACCTAGACAATCACTTGGGCAATTTAATTATCGATCTACAATCCAGACCTCTGTCGGAATTAAGTGAATCCCGAGTCGCTGCTTTTTAGCAGGTTCGATATTACGATGAAAAGACTTCCGGCGGACTGGCGGAGACGTCTCTAATCTTACACACACGCGCACACGCACACACTGGAGCTGAACACAGACACGGGCTTTCGATCAGGTTGCAAGACAAATATGGCGTCGGGGATTCTGATTCCGGACTTCCTCCTCGCACTTTTCACCCTGGGCACGATCTCCTCTCCGACCGAAGAAACCTAGTGAGGTGGCCCAGTGGGCTGCAGTAATTTTCTTGGGTCGATGTTGATCTTGGTTACACGACAGTTTTGCCAACACTTTAATTGTAGAATAACTAATTTAGTCTTTGGGAGTAGATTTTGTGGTTTCTTCGGATATTTCCGCCGCCTGAAAACTATAAGTTTTGTTGCACGTCTACAGCTCACAACAGACGCGACAACTTATTTTCTCCTTGGAAATTCACGAAGATTCAATTTTTTCCGCGACACAACCGTCTTCGTTGAGTGAAATTTGTAAACTAAAAACTGGAATTCTTTGAACTTCGCGCGATTCAGTTTGGAGCCACAAAGTGGAGGTGGTGAAACATCGATGTCCATGAACATCGATGTTTTTAGCGATCGATGTTTTAAGAAAAATAATAAAACAAAAACAAAATTCTATTTTCCTTAAATTTTATTTCCACATTTAATGTTGCTTAGAAAAAAATAACTAAAAGAAAAAAATTGTAAATTAAAATATAATCAAAATGAATATATTATGATATGAAAATATTACAATTAAGTGATGCATTATTTCTGTAGGTATTTTGGAAATTAAATTTACCTGAAATTTTTTACTTCGACAGCTCAAAATTAAATTAAAATTCTCCTATTATAATTATATATTATACATACATAGATATTTGGCAAAGCAAACTTAATATATATTTTACATTATTTACATTTTGGTTGAAGTGATTTGTTGTGGTCAGCAAAACAATCACCGATCAGTGATCATATTAAAAAAACATCGATATTGACATCGATTGTATTCCACCTCTACCACAAAGTCCACAAACCACAGGCATAGTTTTAGAATCCACACACGAAGTTGAGTTTTTTTCCTTGGCTTCGTCTGCGGTCGGATAAGATCACGAAGCGCTGGAACTCTTTGTATCTTTCTCATTTGAGGTGTACTCTCTTTAAATTTTGATCTCTGGCTGTCTCCCTTGGAATTCGATTATAATGCTGTATTACCCAGGCCGTCAGCATTTTAAAACCAAGATTTCGCTAAGCTTGATAGGTTTCCGTGATGTTTAAGTTACAAATTTTAATACGAAATGCGGGGTTTGAGGGGAAATCTGACGTATATTAGATGATTTCAAGGGCGAGCGTCTTGCGCTGTAAAATTAAAAAAATTCTAAGTTAAATAAATTAATTTAAAGACTTTAAGTGTACATTAATGCAGGTTTACCTCGACAAAGACTAATAAAATACATACTTATATTTTCGGAATTGCACGTTTGTTATAATAAATATTAAAAAATAATAAAATTAATTAATTAAAATTATATTATTAATATATGTTATAAAATAAGGCCGACTATATGGTATAGCTGCTATAGAAACGATTATAAATACAAAATTAGTATGAAAAATATTTTTTTAAGGTATGTTATCTAAAATCCCAGATTATAAGTTCGGTGTAGTTTTCCATATGCTCTTCCCCCAAGCTATTCACCTACTAAAATAATTGTATATAAAAAAATTATAAACTAAACAATCATATTGTAAATCAGCCTTTCGACGACCGCGATGAGCACTTTCCGCAATTTGCTGAGATGAATTTTTTCGTGGACTTAAGGACAATTGACTCTATTACATTTTGCCAATCATATTGATATTGTACAATTGATGATTTTTTCCGATCTAAAAAGCAGCAATTCTTTTGCATATGTAACCAATCTAAATATTATATTGAGCATCCTCGATAACTGATGGTGCACCATCAATTTAAAATATTCTGTCGTGAAAATACATAATGATACGAATCTGCTTTGGGAATGAAAACAATAATTAAAAAAAACGGAAAAATAATTAGAATAATTTTAAGTAGACGAACAAAAAGATACAACAACCACATAGAGACAAAATACGACACAGGGGCTCCACTGTAGCGCGCTGGCATAATTTGACCTTGAAAAAATAAGAAGTCGTGTTACATCCGCAACACTTCGCACCTAACTTAAACGATTTTAAAATCTAAAACGCCGATAAAAATAAAAAATCCATATGGCATCGTGTGGGAACACAACTAAAAGTTTAGGTAAACAAATTTAAGACACACAAAACAGGTAAAAACGAAAAAGTTTAACATATCAAGTTAGTTTTTAATAATTTCATTTCAAGTTAGTATAATACACGTGTTCATGCTTTTGATTTTATTTTTTTAATGTATCGTTACGACATTTTAGAGACAAACTGTGTTTATTTAATTTAAATATTTTCTGATCGGTTTCTTTGACCAATGTGCATTGTAAGAATTTTGAAACTATTATATGGTATTCAAAAAGAAAATGTATTTTATACCCTTGCAGGGAGTTATAATTTCAGTCAGAAGTTTGCAACTTAGTGAAGGAGGCACCTCCGACCATATAAGGTATACATATGTATATATTCTTGATCAGCACCAACAGCCGAGTCGATCTAGCCGTGTCCGTCTCTTAGTTTTAAAGCTATCAGAATGAAACGTTGCAGTTAGCCTTGTTACTCTCACTCGTATACAAGTCGGAACGGGCCGCATCGGACGACTATATTATATATGTAGACGCCATAGTAACGATTGGAAAATTTTTAGAGAAAAATATATCACTTATTTTTTTCCGTGGTAATTATTTCTATAATTTTATTACTTGCTATTATTAATACCCGAACCAACCGCAAAAGAGAAGTTATGATATTAGCAAAAATAAATATATGTAATATAAAACGCTGTCTCATAACTCCAGCTCCACCTGTGCTTGAATTCGTTCGTAAGCATTCTTAGCAAAGACACAAACCTAACAGAGATTCTTTGCCTATATAAATTTCTTTACAGGATACAGGACAACAAATTTCAATCTAAATAACAGTAGTAGTGAGAACAATTTTGGAGCGAATTTTCAATATCCGCTAAATTATCGTAAATAAAAAACTAAATGAAAATAAATTTTTTACATGCTAAGAAATTATTTACTAATGTAATATTTTGGGTTTTAACATATTTGGGACCCGAAATACCGATCTTAAGTATCCATTTATAAAGTCGAGTCCGGCCGTTTTTTGAATTGCTGCACTCATTGATTAGCCTTCGTCTGAACCTTTTTAAGAAAATCGAACACCTGTGCAGCCAACTTATAAAAAGCCAAAATTAAAAAAACAAAGAAAGCTAAGTTTGCAGATACAATTGCGATCACTAGCCATTAATACAATTTAAATTATGTATATTTATGTTAAAAAACAATTAAGTAATGCATATCATTCACCATCACATATATACTATATATTTACAGATTTACATTATCTAACGATAATTTGTATGTCAGCTTTATTATAGTAGTCTGATTTTCATAGAATTAAAATCAAAATTCTATATTTATAAGAAAGGGTTATATCTCAAATTTGATAGAAATCTGTTGAAAACTAAAAAGTTATAATTTTGAATTGTATTAATTTTTCGATCCTTCCTTCTTCTTATATGATATAGTCGTCCGATCCGGCCCTTTCCGACATACATTTGTACATAAAGGTATATAAAGAGTATATAAAAGACTAACTGCAAAGTTACATTAAGATAACTTCCAAATTTAGAGACTAGTTTGAGTAGACGGACATACGGATATGGCTAGATCGACTCGGCTGTTGATCCTGATCAAGGATATGTAAACTTCACTTCACTGCGTTGCAAACTTTTGACTGAAATTATAATACCCTGCAAGGGTAAACATCACTGTAACTTATACTAGGTAAATGGGGTTTTGACAGAAGCTCTGGATACAGCGAGTACAAGCGAAAAGTGGAAAACAATAATTTCGAAGACAGCCACTTGTTGTTCGTCATACGTTCTGCTTGACTTATTAACACCTGAAGATGCTTAAAAATTACCTGGAAAAACCCTCGACCATCATCCAGCATCCAATTGATATTGCGATTTCAATTTCTAAAGGAATCAACTGAATTGAGTATCAATGAGGAAAAAAACTGTAAAGACAAAATTAAAAATCTGGTTCCGAAAAAGATAACTTGGTAATAAAACAATACACATATATATGTTCAGCAAATTTTCCAACTGACAATGGTTGATGGCAAAATTTGTAATGCCTTACCACAAACATCATATATATGTATATATATACATATACTTATAAACAAAGCGAAGTCCACAAAAATGAACAATATTGAAGAAAGCTTAGAAAGAGAAGTTAATCAGGAACGATTTTAATTCGGATTGTCTCCACTTCACGCATGTATGTACGCATGTATAAAATTTTTTGAATATTTTATTCATTTGTGATTTAAAATCGATATACAAGTCTGGCAAGTTCGCGATGAAGGAAAAGAAAAAGTTACTGAAAGAAAAATAAAAGTACAGACAGAATTTCGTTTAAAAATGGGATTGCTTGTCGAAAAGCCGATGGTAGATCATCAAATGATGGAAACAATTCCAGACAATTTTTCAGTAATCCTAATTGCAAGGACTCTGTTCAGGACACAAAATTGATGCATACAAATTAATAACATTTGCACTCCAAATGTATTTATGGCCACCGTTAATAAAATTTTAATTACTTTGGTGTCGATTGAAGAGTTGTCGGAGGAAGCAGATGAGTCAAAAAATAAGGATTTCAAATAACTTCGTCTGCAGCATACCAGAAAAATATCTGGAGCAGGAACTAATAAAGACTTTTTCAATCGTCTACTCCTTTTATCGGATCTTTTAATAAAAGGACAACGAACCTTAACCTTATAATCTAAAAAGGGGTCAGTTTAAAAGAAATATGTTTATGATCTTTTATAACAAGAAAATATAATAATATACTAAGTACAAATAAACAAAAAAAACGTTTAGCAAAATAAGTGGTGTAACTTATGGAGTTTATGGAAATTTAATGATTTTTATTTTGTTTGTTTATTTCTTTTATTTTTAATAGAATTTCGGTAAAAGTGATAAAATTGTATCTCCACCAGAAGCGCTCGCTCCATACAAGCCCGAACTTTTTGCAATAGTCCGATCAGATTCGTCAATCGTGGACAAATCGTATTTTGACAAAGCAAGTTACAGAATTAACTACAGTTGATTACACAAAATGGTAATTTTTATTTGTATGAACTATTTTTGCCCCCGGTTGTATGTATATATTTCAAAAAATATTATGAAGTTCTTTGATGTGAGAAAGCAACCGAAGCAATTGTCAATGGTCCCCCCTTTCTCCCACTTTCACATTGGCCATTTTGGCTGCTGAGGCGTGAAGTCCATTCTTTTAACT